CACAAACTGTACACAGGGCTTCCTTCATTTATCAGCATGACAAATGCACTCAGAAACACCTAGAGCTACAACACAGAAATATCTACCATCACTAGTATTTCGTACTTTGAAGACTGAAAAACATTAACGCGCAAATAACTTAAAAACATTAAGCCCTCATTCCAGATCACTTTATTTACAGTGTATTGCTCTAGCTTCTGTGACGTTCACTATTTTTATTGCCAGTCAGCAGTGAACTTTTTGACTACAGTGAGTACACTGCCTTCAACCACATATTTAAATTTCAAGCAAATGCTGTAGTAGATATTAAAAAATCTCATGAACATTTAGTGTTAAGTACACATGATGATCGAAACTGAGTTTGTATGTGTTTCTTTCTTGAAAAGCAAGGACTCTGCTTTCCTGGAATTTATTTCCTGACTTCAGGAAAAAAAAAATAATTAAAAACAAACCATAATAATGTTTTTATATGCACTTTGCAATCTACTTAGTAGGTAGTAATTTGATGGCACGCAATTAGTTTTTAAATAATCAAAAGGATTCTGCAAGCTTCCAAAGCACACAGAACGCAAAAAGACATTATGCAGAAGGTACCCAAGTTTAACAAGAAAAAAAAAATCAACATATGAGTCGTCCTAGCTGTTATCTACACAAGTATATTAATGACTATCAGAGGTACTTCAACGCAAGAAAAGGCCAGATTTAGAAGAGCATCACAATAACATGCATGATTTTCCCAAGATTTGTTTACTCCTTGTAAGATATACTTCAAGATATTTTAAGACTGTCTCCAAATGGTCTTTGCAGTCCACGGAAGGCCTGCGTAATAGGCTAAAGTTACTAATTTATACAAGGGACTTTATCGACTTGAATTAAGTTGGCTTACTGTGGGGAGAACAATTATGCTGGCGGCTTTGGAGGTGGCAATGGCTTAGCAGGCAGCGCCCCTCTGCTGTCTCAGAGGGTTCCAAAAGGCGAGATGACGAGTGACTTACAGCTTTCCATCAGTACGACTTGGCACTCTTCCTAAATATACCTCGCTGTGTTTTACAAAGCATGATAAACATTCTATCTATAGCACACAGATTGAAAAAATGAGTCAGTAAAGCTACATGAGGTGTTCAAGTTCACCCACAGAGACAAAGACGCAGAGAAGGAGCCCAGTTCTAACGCTTTGTGTGCTGGGACACACCACCCTCAGCACCCGAAAGAACAACGAGGCACCAACTGAAACCGGGGCCTCGGTCATACAGTCTGCAGCCAACAGACTCCAACTAAAACCAGGCCTTAAAGCACTAAATTCTCTGTGTGCTGAAGTGTCCTTGAGGAATACTCTTCCAATAACTTTAAAAAAAAAAAAAGGCACCCAAAAGCACAGCCATATTTAAACAGTATCTCGATCCAATACAGTCAATGCTACTTTGTGCGATACCAACAGAAAGCCACTAATTTTCCTAAGCATTCTCCCTTGCTGCTTCTTATTGGACTAACTTGTATCCTTGCAGGCTTAGCAAATTAATTGCAAATTTAAGCCAGGCAGAAAGTCATGCTGAACTGTATTATTCCCAAAATCTTAAAAAATGGTATTGGAAAGACGGTTGAACCTTAGAAATCTCTTCTGAGCTATGATGCCATTAAAAGTTTCATCGTAACAAGTAAATACAGTTTCCATGTAATGAATTACAGATTAACCCCAGTTAACAGTACAAGGCACAGTAAATAAAGTACTTGGAGCTATCTCAAGCATACATAAATGTAATGCTACACACAAATTACAAAAATCGTGGACTTAAAATCAGCATATGAACACCCTGGCAGAAGTCGTCCAGATTTTAAAAATAAATAAAAATGCAGCAACAGCAGAAATCTTACAGAAGGATAAGTACACTGGGGACTTTTTTTCCCCTTAAATATGACTGTATTAACAGGTTTCTGCATGTTACTTAAAATTTGAGCATTTGCTACACACTCAATTCAGCCTGAAGTGGGGCGCTATCACTATCTCACAGAACACTTTGTATTCCCACTTACGATCCGACCTCCTCATCCTCCCATCCATCTATCCACACTTACACGGCTCTATAACCGGAGTATCGGAGCCTAATCTCTATGGTAACTGTATGATTTGTTTACATGGAAAAAAGAATATTAGAAATGTATGCAAATTTAGCTGTCATTTAAATAAGTGTTTTTCCTTCTGAGGTTTAAAAAAAAAAAAAAAAAAGCTCTCTAGCTCTCTATACTGCCTCCTATTTCTCTTGCTTCCATCTCCTACAACCCCAGCAGGCAATGAGCCACATTTGGAAAGCTCCGTATCACACTACATCGACAGCCTGTTGTTGCAAATTCATATAGTTTACTTTTAATGAGGAAGAGATGTGCAGTATTTTAGATCTTAATGCTTATTTAAGAGAAAGCATAGAGAGCAATTAAAACTTGATTTTTTAAAAGATACTGTCATTAAGTCACGAAAGGGGAAGAAAAAAAACAACACACATGCTGAACCTTTAAGAGCTCTACAGAAAGACTTAGCTTGCTGCTCAGCAACTCCGATCCATCTAGAAATTAAAACGATCCGTATCATTTGCCATTTCCAGCTGTAAATACAGCTTTTAGGACATATTTTACATAAGACTCGCTGACAGACAGTAGCGTAACTCTAACAGTGCAAGCCCCCGTATACAGACTGCTCTTTTATATTAAAAATACCGATGAGATGATGCATCTCAGGCTTGCAACAATTGCTTTCGATAGGGTTCATATTTTGAAGGTTTACCGCAGCCCAGACCCAGAGCTGAATTACAGATCCTGGGAGGGGGGGGGGCACAGCGACACAAACAGCAGCTCAGGTGAGCCATCCTCAGCAAAACGACAAAAAGGCCGGCTATTTCCTAACTATTTTGGGGTACGCAGGTCCATTTTGGCACAGAGCAGATCACGCTATGGGGCTGACACGCTTTGTTTCCTGTAGCACTTGCCCGACGCAGGAAAAAGAAGGAGACGGGAGAGGAGAAGGGCTCGGGGAAAAAACGAGCTGCGGACGATGGCTGTGGGCACCGCAAGGGACACCCGGACAGGGCACGAAACCTCCCTGCGCCTCCCCGAGCCCCTCCGGAGCCCGGCGGCCAAACTCTGGCGACTCTTCCCGAGCTGCAGCCAGGCAGCCATGTCCTCCTCCATGGGGGGGGGGGGGGGGAGCACCCCGGGACGGAGCGGGCGGACAGACAGACGGACATTTCCCCACGGCCATTCCCTCACGGGGCCGTCCCCCACGGCCGTTTCCCTCACGCCTTACCTTCATGATGAGCTCAGGCTGCGGTAAAAAGCCTCGGCGGGGGCTGCGCGGCCGAGGCCGGACCTGGAATTTAAAACAAAGCGCTGAGGCACCGGGCGGGGGAGGGGCGGCGGGGCCGCCTCAGGGGGCTCGGGGGGCCGCGGGGGGGAGGCTGAGGGAGGGCGGGGGGCGCCTCCCCGAGCCCCCCCCGCCCCCTCCCCGAGCCCTGGTGCTGCCGCTGCCCCGCTCCCCCCCGCGCCCCTCCCCGGCCGCTGCCTCGCCGCCGCTGACGCCATTTCTGTCAGAGGAGGAGAAACTTGCCACAACAACAACCCGCCGCACGGCGCCGGGGGGGGGGGGGGAAACGGGGGGATAAAGCACGGCCTCGGGGCCGCCCCCCGCGGGGCTGCAGCCCCCTGCCCGCCCGCTGCCGAGAGGGGAAGGAGGGGATGGGGGGAGTATAAGGGATGGGGGGGCTGAGCTCAGCGCCGGGACCCCCGCACTTGGCGGCTGGGGGAGAGGAGGAGGAGGGGAGGGAGGGGAGGGGAGGGAGGCCCTGCCTCCATTGTACGAGGAAGAGTGCGGGCAGCAGGATGGGGGGGGACATCGGGGGGGGGGGGGGTGCAGCCGCTTTTGTACGGGGCTGCGGCTCCGGATCGCGGCGGCTCCGGATCGCGGCGGCTCCTCCCCCCCCCCCCCCCTCCCTCTCCTCTCCCTCTCCGTGCCCCCCCCTCCCCAAATACAAGCAAAGCGCTGACTCCGCGGCCGGAGTTTCGGCAGCAACAGCCGCAACTCCGCGGCCGTCTGGGGGCCGGGCGGGGGGGGGGGGAGAAAAGGAAGAAGAAGAAAAGAAGGGAGCGGAGCGGAGCGGGGCGGGAGGGACGGGGGGGGGGGGGACACGGACACAAGCAGGCGGCTGCCGATCGCCCTCGCCCCGCCGCCGAGTCCCGCCGCAACCGCGCTGCGAGCGCAGAAAAACAACCGCCTCCCCCCCCTCACACACACACACACACACACCCACCCCCTGCCGCCCGCCGCGGGGCCCGGGGCTCGCCCCCCGCCCGCCCGCCGGTACCTTTGTTCCGCGGCGCCCGCCCGCGACTCCCCCGACCCGCGGCGGGGGGGAGGGAAGGGAACGGGGCGAAGCCGCCTCCTCCTCCTCCTCCTCCTCCTGCTGCTGCTGCTGCTGCTGCCGCCGCCCGCGGCTCCGTCTCCCCGTCGGGCACCCTCGGCCCCCGCTCCGCCAACGGCTGGGGCTGTGCTCGCGCGGCGGGGCCGCCCCGTGCCGCCCGCACCCGGGCGCGGACGCGGAGCCGGCGGCGCTGAGCGCTGCGCTCCCCCTGCCTCGCTCCCCCTCCCCCTCCCGCACCGACCGCCCGACTGACTGACGGCCGGGCGGGCCGGGCCACGCCCCTCTCCCCGCCTACCTCCATTGGGCCGCGGCCCGCACGGCCCGCCCCCCCCCCGGCCCCATTGGCCGCCGCCTCGGAAATACTGACGTCATTTTTCTCCACTTCTATGGAAACTGAGACTCGGCGCCGCGCAGCCTCACGGGTAACGCAGTCCCCCCGCGCCTCCCTCCCCGGGTTCCCTCTGCCAGTGGGCTCCCGGCGCGGACTACACATCCCAGCGCGCACCGCGCGCCGCCGCCGCCGCGCGGGGCCGGGGCCCCAGCCGAATGCTAATGGCAGGAGGGGGCTGGGCCGGCGCATGCGCGGTGCGGCTCCGGTGGCGCATTTTCCCCCAAGAGGCGAAGGTGGCGCCCGGCGGGGCGGAAGGGGGCGGTGCTGCCTCCCCCCCCCCCCTTCCCTCCCCTCCATCCCGCCGGGCGGGGCGGGGCTGCGCGGGTTGGCGGCGGCCTGAGGTGAGCGGCGGGGAGCGGGGGGCGCTGCAGGGAGCAGGGGCTGGCGGCGGTGGCTCGGGAGAGGGGGTCCTGGGGGGGGGTTCCGGGGGGGTCTCCTCGCCCTAAGATGGCGCTGGGAGCCCCGAGCCGGAGCGCGGAGCCCTGGGGGGGGCGGCTGGGGGCCTGCGGCTCCCCTGCGCCTCGGGAGGGGCTGAGGAAAGTTGCTGTGACTGCTGAGATCCCGCAGGGAGCTGGGCAGCCCTGCGGGCAGGAACCTCCGTACCAAGTGTATAAGTGTGGTAACTTCAGAGATGTTCCTGCTCTTTGCAGCCTCATACCTGATGGTATTCTGCCGTATAGACCCCTGTAGGTGCCTTCATTTAGGTGTCTTTATCGAGTTCCCCTTCTTTCTATAAGTTTTGGGACTCACCGTCCTTGTTTCTGTGGGTACTTCAGACATGTGGATCCCTCTTATGAGGGATCACCTCTCTTCTCTTTCTTACAGTAATTTCCTTAGGTCATCTTCAGGTAGCAAAACAGCCCAGGAAAGCTTAACCACCGTGGTTTCAAATTGCCACCAGTGGCAGGCCTTTTCTTGCTCTATTTAAAAACAAAAAATGAAGCTCAGCTGTAAGCTGTAATGCTTTTCTGCTTTAATCATAACAATGATAAACTCTTGGCATTTGTGGGAGAAGTGCCTGGTTAATTTATCTTGCAATGAGCAGCGTTTGGGAGGATTCCTGGTAGTAGTGCCTGAAAGGTAGATTCAGTTTGCTGTGTGATACCAGCCAATTTTCAGTTGGATGGGGATTTTTGAGTACTATGTTAGTGCCCTATAGACAGGGAAGAAACCTCCTCCTTCCCTGAGGGGGGAGGAAGAGCTCTAACATTTACTTCTAAGAACTTTGTCAGGGCAATGACCGGTGAGTAATCTTCACATTCTTTGTTTTGTGCTGCTACAATGTGTGCTAACTGCCCAACCCTTGTAGGCTCAGTGTTAGTGGGAAACCCTCACACAGAAGGAATTCAACCCCAACATCTCCCCTAGCTGAGCACCTTCAATTCTAAACCCTCCCTGTGGCTTCTTGATGATTAATTGTCACGGGAGGGTGGCTAACTTGATAGTGTCTCTATATCCAGCTCTATGAGCATCTCTTCTTAAAACATCCGGGGATGGGCTGTGATGAGCATTTCTTATTTCACTTCCTCACTGAAATCCTTTGAGACTTACGCTTGATGTGTAGGGGTGCAGTTTTACAGCTGGTGTTCTTAGTGGCAGCCCTAGCTTGCAAGCAGTTCCTGTCCCTGGAGCTGTACCAGTAAGGTAGGAACAACAGGGAGCTGAGGGTGTCAGATAAGCCCAGCTTTGATTATTGTGGCCCGACAGCCTGTTGTGCTGGCACACCACAGGGTCAGATGGGAAGGCTGTAATTCTTATTGTGGTGTTACTGTTAAGAAACTGCAAAGCTTTCCAGAAAGGTCCTGTCTTACAAGGATTGCAGTAGCAACTGCGTGTGCTTAAATAGCATTTCTTGCCCCTGAAGTGTTGATAAATTGGGTTAACATATGCAGCAAACCAGATAAAGGAATTGATCCAAGCCTAAGCTTTGCAAGTAGTTACTGATGCAGATTAGTTCCCAAGTTTGTACTGCTACAAATATTTGTGGGTCCAGAGGGTGGGAATGGGACCCAAAGACAGGAACTGATGGAGCTGCCACTGGAAGGGAAAGCTCCTGAGTGTTGAGGAATACCAGGTCTAAGTAGCTTAAGAGGAAGTGATAACTTTTAATACTGATCCTTTGAGTTGTTGATGGGAAACCTATTGCTGGACTCTGAGAAAGAGTGGAATATACTGTATTTCACTCGTGTCAACCATTCCTCTTAATGTACCAATGTTAAAAATGCACCAGTCTGTACTTCTAAAGTCACTTTAAAATAATTACTTTTATCAGTAACTTACAAAACTACTTAATTGCTCCAAGAGGAGGGAAAAATGCATTCTTTCCTGGATGCTAGCTAAACAGCTAAGAAATGATGCTGAAGTAGCATGAGACGTTACGCTACTGCTGCAGTTCCTGTCTTAAAATGACATTAGAAGAATTGTTTTGAGCTGCTGTATCTGCAGTGCAGCAAGGAAGGCTAGAGGTGAAAGGAGAGAGAATCCATTATAGAAAACAGTCTGGGGGAAAAATGCAAATATGGATGACCATAAGGATGTGAACTAAAAAACAATCAATAGATAATTGTTGAGCTCTGAAGGTAGTGGATCTTAAAAGATTTACTGTGAGAGTGGGATGTATATAGTATATGGGAAAGCGTGTGCAGATGTCTGTGTGCTTAGTAGGAAAGCAGTGTGTTCCTGTCTTCCAAAACATCCATCATGATGAAGGAACCTGTCAAAAGGCTCAAGCTAGTGCTCAGCTTGTTTAGGTTGCCTTGGAGTAAGGTGTAGCTTCTGCTCTTAGGCATCTGCGTTTTCCCGTGGTGAAAGAGCACAGGGAGGTCTAATCCTATTAGTTGTACGAGGTTTTGTATATACTGAGTGTCTTCTCTAACTCTGTACAGTGGAGCTCCATTGTTGTGAATGCTGATGTTTTAAGTGTTTTCTCTGTCGTCTGAGCCATCTAATATGTACAAAAGTCAAAGTAAGCTAAAAGGCTAGGAGTTGGCTTAAGCTATTCATGAATAATTAAAGAAAGCTGTATTTAAAACATGCTTGCTTCTTATCCAAATGCCATCCGGGAAACTTCTTGTATAGTAAAGGTAGTAGTCACCGTCATGTTCAAAACTGTAGCACATGCATCTAGCCTAGAGGTCACTGACTTTTTATATTTGTATGCTCCTTTATTTTGTTAATTCAACTTTTTTTTTTCCATTTAAATAGTGTTCACAACCCTTTCTTTAAGAGTGAATTACCTCTTATCAAATAAAGACATGGATGGGAACGATGAAACATCTAAAAGAATCCTAGAGCCATACCAGTATTTACTTCAACTACCAGGCAAGTTTACTTTTACTCTTTTAAATATCAAAATTGTCTTTCTAACATCTTTTTCTTTCCTAGGAAGTATATGCCAAGAAGTTTATCCTTTCTTGATTTGTGGAGTTACAATTAATTAAAACTGTTGAAAAAGTGTTAGTTTGTTTTTATTTCTCTCGTGAAACTGTCCTTTTGGTGAAACTGGTACAGTGGCAGCTGAGCCTGTCTGTTAGAGCACAGATAGTTGTCTTGCATTTGCTCTGTCTTACGTTCAAAGTCGCTGACTTACTGGAACTGAGCAAGCACTGAAGACTTGATTCCATTTTTGAAGAGTGAAACATTGCCAGCCCAAAGTTTATCTGCTTGCTGTACTAGGCTTGATGGATTGTGTGTATGTTTTAAATAGCTTCTTTTATGTTATTTCTTCACCCTGGTATGTGTAGAGCCAGGCTTGTTTTGGGCTGATTTTGTCTGTCTCTGGGTTGTTTCACTTACCAGAGAATCTGCCAGTCCCTGTCTGGTGTTAGGTCACCAGCAACACATTGAGATAAAGTTTCTCTTCTTGAATAGCAGCTATATTAGCAGAATGGAGGAGGCAGTTTGTGAGAGAATTAATGTATGGGCATGCCAACTAGAAGGCTCTGCCCAGCTTGTATCAAATACTGGGGGAACTAACAAATGCGCAAAATTTGGTAAGTATTTAAGGAAAGTAACCCTGACCAAAATGATATCTGACTGGGGGATAGGAGACCTGTCTAGGCAAACAGCGTAACTAATCACAGGTACAGTACTAACTGGCTTTGTACATCTGCAACAAGACCTATATTATCAGCAGGGTGGGTCTTTAACCCATGCATATTGAAGTTCATTATTCATCTTTACAAATATCACGAGCATCTTGTCTACGTTAATGATTGCATGTTCTTGGCAGCTAGTACTACTTGAGTTGAAAAAGTAGAGAAGGAAAGAATTTGGCAGTAACACTCCTTTTGATAATGCCAGAAAGTTTTTCCTGTTTCCTCACAGTATTTTTCATTCTGTTATGTGAAACTGGGTGGTGATTTTGCTAGAAGACTTATTTGAGAATCAATCTGTGATATTCCAGAGAGCTTTCTAAGAGCTGATCCTGAAGAAGCTTCTCCAACACCATCTTAAAGGAGGGTTTTTGTTTGGTGTGTTTATCTGACAAAAACATGGTATATCGTAACCCCTCTGTGTTTTTAGCTGCTTTTTTTTTTTTCCTTTTAAGAAATTGTAGCTGCTGGAAAAGAAAGCTCAGCTACCTAGTAGCAAATATGCACAAGATAAGAAAGTGTCAAGACAAAGAAAACAACCTTCTGTAGGCATAAGTGCTTGACTAATAGCTCTTCAATTAGCTTTCACTTAAATGATGCATCTGGTTTAACCTTCCCACCTTCATTCCTGTGGCTGAACTCCTGTACTTCATGGTGTGTTCAACCCTAATCACTCTATCTTGATGGCTTATAGACTTATATTGATGAACGGTGCAAGCACTTTGTCCTGTCCTGCTAAAATATCATAAATCTGTCTGCTGAAACGTGTTGATCTCCTGTGAATTTATGTTTTGGGGAAGGTGAGAGACAAGATACACCGTGTAGGAATGGTGGTGTGATTCAGAATGGGAGAATTCTCCTAAGGTAGACAGGTAAATGTCGCGTGCCTGTGGAAAGCTGTTATGGAGTAACAGTGGAAGCAGTAAGTGTTCACAATCATATAGCTGGATGTTGTCTGGTTTTTGAAATGTTGGCTTTGCCCTAAGTCAGCTATGCCAAACACAGATCAGTAGGAGCCAGCTACTTGTGTGAGCCTTGGCATCAGTACGAGCACCGATGCTTGGTGAAGGGAAAAATGAGGCATATGCTAGCAGTTCATAATTAGGGTGGAGCCCAGATGAGATGCCTGAGCTAATCTAACAAGCTTTTGCTGAAAGAGGAGGTTTAATTCCATCTTCCTTCTGGCAGTATTCTCCCACATCTTAACTCGTGCCAGTTCTCAGCTCACTAACCAGATGATTAGGTAGTATCAATCACCTAACCTGCTGGAAAACTTGGCAGGCAGAGTAGTTATCTTTTGTCCAGTTTGTGGCGTGGCACAAGGGTGAGGCCAAAGAGCTGTTTCTCTCTTGGATCACCTGGAGCTCTGAGAGGCTTCTGGAGAAAGCTCAGTTCAGTCAGATCTGTACAATTATGGCCCTTCAATATCCAGTTGCTTATCTTGTAGGACCAGTTGAAAAACAGTCTCCAAGTGGTTTAGTAACCTGTGAAAACTTGAAGTTAGATGCATATCAAAACTCTTACATAAACAAGAATTGTGTAACTGTATTGAGATGGTTTGAAAAATGTCTGCTAATGTTGCCTGTAGTGTAAGAATACAAGATTTTATAGTGATGTCAAGGGTTAATCTCTCAAAAAAGAGAAACTTGATTATTCTGCTTGCCATTAATGAAATAGGATTTTAACGGTAACTGAGGTGATACTTAGAAGTTAAAGAAACATACAAGCTTGGGTTTATGACACTAGGCTAGAAAAATTACAGGGCTTAAGTCTTTTTTTGTGTTGCAATTTTAATGGTTAGTATGCTAATGATGGAATAAACATTAATTAACAGAATTTAGTGCCTGGGAGAAGCATGTATCTTGAAACAGTAACTTTTCTTGTAAAATATTTCAGTAGTAGAACATAAAATTGCCTTACTCTGAGTCTAGTATTCTGCCCTTTACTTGGGTAAACAAAGTGCAATAAGCAGAAATAAATTTCACAAATGCCAATAATGTGATTTGCCTTAAATTCACGCAGATGAGGAAGCATCTTTCATCTCGGAGTAGCTAAGTTAACAGCAGTAGCTGTTTTTGCAGCCCTAAGGAGTATATGGGCCTGCTATTGAAAAGGATAGATTCCAATCCTATTCACAACTCTGCATCTTGCCTTTCATGTGCATTGTTCTGGTCTTGGCTTCAGTCTTTCCTGGGCTTACTTGGCTTGCTAAACAATCAAGACTGGCTTTTGGTCTTTTTTTCATATTTTTCTGCTCAGTTGTTGAACTTAACCAGCTTGGTGAAGGATTTTTGAAGCAGCAGTAGCAAGACGAAGGTGATGCTTTACTTTGACAGTAGCCTCTCAAATGTACTGAAACAGATTATTTTTTTTTAATAGCATTTATGTTTTTTTCTCACTCTTCTGATCTCCTCTAAAAGAGAATAGAGCTAACAGGCAGCCAACAGATGTAGTTCTGCGCAGCAGTTCATGTAGAAGGAGACTAGAAACTGAGAACATGGTACATGCACTTAGGAATGGTGGTGATGTGCCACAGGGCATGATCTTTACCAGTGGAACAAATGCACCTTACACATCAGCAGCCTCAATCTGGGCTGTGTTCCTGAGGGGTGGCATCTCTCCAGGTCTTGCACTGCAGAGATGCCTAGGAATCCCACCGGGCCAGGAGAAAGTACTGTTCCAGCCCCCAAAAGATATATGATGGTCAAATTTGCTTCCACCAAGCAAATCAGCAGTGGAAGAGGGTCAGCAGGCTGCACAGCATTAGAGATAATTAGATTGGCAGGATCCTTTGAAGGTCCTTCAGGTTCAAGACCCTGAATGCACTGAAGGAGGGGCAAGAAGAGTGCATAACAGGTTGGAAAATGGAGGCTTGTGCAATGGTGAAAGCTGGGAGCTCATGGCTTCTGGCACCAGGAAAGATTCCTGTTCATCATGAAGATAAGCAATTGTCAGGTAAGTTTAGTGCACCAGAAGAAAACAAATGGCTAGATCTGTGTATGGCACAGCTCCAGGCTGACAGCAAGCGCCAGTAGTGGGGAGGCTGCTGTTCCTCTGTTATCTTCCAGAGGCATGCTGCTTCTGGACAGCTTGGGTCAGGGATGTTCCTGAGAGAATACCAAGGGGTGTTTCATCCTAAGGCTACTGAACCCCGTGCCTCTTCAATTTGAGAACCAATGGATATAGCTGGGGACATGTGGGGCTTATCAAACATGACCACATGGCTTTTGGAGTGAGGGATGGGCACAGGAGACCAAGTGTGTTTTTTTTTCTTCCTTAAGCTCTTCTCCCCTCCTCTCCTATTCAAGAAGAATAAGCAGATCCTTTCTGTTAACAACCAGTTAGTCGCACAGTTGACATTAACAGCAGGGATCTGGGTTTTATGATCATGGGGCTCCTTTTGTGCATCGAGGACTACTAGGAGGAGGTGGGATCCACCAACCTGAGTTGGCACTGGCTGACTGACCTGATGAGAAGTTATTCTTCCATTATCACTTCAATTTAAATAAGAGTACCCAAAATAAAGCAAGGAAGTGATGAACTGGCAAGCAAAGGGTATAATCTGATGTGGACGAGAGACTTTTTAATTAACAGAACAAAGCTGACAGAAGTCCACTCCAGATGTGTGCATTCAAATAAGGAAGTGATAACAGGGCAGTGTGATGCAGGAAGCTCTCACTCCTACTAGGGAATCTGTAGGACTGGGTGACTCTCAAGTGCCTGTACGCAAATGCATGAGGAATAAATAGGAGAAGTTAGATGTCTGCATGAAGCTGCAGGGCTGTGGTTTCATTGGGATATTGGATGTGGAGTAGCTGGAGAGCTGCAGGTGGATATGGACTGTCTAGAAAGGCTGGGACGGCAAAGAATGGGAATTGCCTGTTTATGTGAAAGAGCAGCTGAACTGCACAGAGTTCTGCCTTGGGTTAGATTAACCCATAAACTCTCAACAGGCTCAAGATCAGAGGGCAGATTGATATGGGTGACACTACAGTGGGTCTGTGCTATAGGCCATCTGATCAGGAAGAAGTAGATGAAGCCTCCACACAGCTGGAAGAAGCCTCCTTCACAGGCCATTGTCTTCATGAGAGACTTCTACCTTGATATCTAGTAGAAGCAGCAATGCAGCAGGGCATAGGCAATCCCAGAGGTTTCTGGAATGCATCAAGGACCAACGAGTTGGTGAGGGAAGGCATTTTGCTGGACTTGACACTTTGAAAACAACGAATTGGTTGGGATCTGAAGGCTGGGAGCAGCTGTGTCTGCAGTGACCGCGGGATGGTGGAATTCAGGATCGTGGAAACAAGGCAGACGGCAGAATCACAGCCTTGGACTAGCTAACTCTATTTTGAATGGGGTGGGAGTTTAAGCTAGACAATCCTACAGTGGCTGTGATCTGTCCCAAAGTGGCTGCCCAGGTTTAAAGGGATGGGCTTGCTCTCTTTGCCTGTGTGCTGGCTGTAGCGTAGCTGTGTGGGGAGGTCTGATCAGGGACCCGTTTAGCCCTAACCCATCAGAGGACAGAGCTAAACATGGAAGTGCACAATACAGCTGAGGTAATATAATAGCTTGCTTCATCCATAAGGGTGATGCCCCTTTCCCCCAGCTCTCAGCATCTGCTGCTTAGCCTGTACTAACTCTGGCAGACCCGCTTTAGAAGCTGACTCAGTACATAAGGCTGGCAGAAAGCTAGCCTAGCAAAAAGCAGTCAGCTTTCTGCTGGGGTAATGAGTTGAATTAGCTTAGTGAGGCTCTAATGAGGGCTAGGTTAATAGTCCCTCTGCTCTTCCCCATGCTGTTCGATCCGTTTCACATACCCTCACTCTAAGTGGGGTGCTGCCTTAAGGGCACAGTTTGAGGTCACTTTAATGCAGCATGTGTAAAGAAATACTGATCAGCAGCCTGTCCGGAGCAGGAGGTCTATGAGCTCTGGGTCTGTGCTCTATCAGGAGAACAATCATGTAGATATAAACACATGTGTAGCCAGTCTGATTTTAGAGAAGCTTCTCTTATGTGATTAAATAGGTGGGAGGGACTGTCCTCAGTGTGACCCCTCTAATTTAACTGAATCTTTTCAGGATAATGACTTTACATTCTTATCCCTATAAATTATTTTAATATAAATTACCTATCTTGTCAGAGTGGGGCTATTAGGTTTGAAATACTTTTTCCTACCTTGTTTTCCACCCCACATTACTAATGAGAAAACAAGTTTTGCATAGTTTTTGCTTGATTGGGGTGGTATTGGGATCTTCAGCAGATCAGACAGTGCATTTAGCCTAAATTTGTTAAAAAGCTGTTGCGGTACTGTCTATAATTATGGCTGGGTACAGTAGCTAGAAGAATTTTTGGAAGCTAGATCTGGATAGTCTTCAGTTGTACAAGAGTCTGCTTAGACTCGTCAAGAGGGTTGTGATGCATAACAGTGGAAAATGAGTAATTATGGTGGTGGTAAGTTTTACTCCATTTAATTTTGTCCTCACATCTATAGGCCATCTAGTCTGAAGGGAGGGCTGTAGGCCAAGAATGGAGTCTTACTGTATGAAGTGTTGAAGGGGTTGGGTCTCTTGTCATCATAGTGTGACCGTAGGCATAAAACATGCATGTGGAAAATTGCTGTAGCATCAAATAGACCTGCTAGGATTGACTTCAGAACAAGATACAGTAGCATTTATGAAGCAATAATGGGGCTCACAAAAGCAAATCTGCACCTGTAAAAGAAAAGATTAATGCTTCACTATATAGATAGTGTTCTTTTCCTTTAATAGTCAGTGTCTAGACAGCCTCGCCAGAACAGGGCAGACAAGTCTAACAATTCAAATGCAGTCTACACTGAGGAGCTAAATGGCCAAATCCACTGTGTATATATTAACAGTCCATTTGGATTACATGCTGGTAGTTATGTACATCATGATGAAATAAAACTTGTTACTGAGTACCTAGCACTCTGTAAGTGTATTTTCTAGGAAATGTATTTAGAAAAACAGAATTAAGTTGCCTAATGCTTATATTGATGCAACAGCTACCTTTTTCCTTAATCCAGAAGTGAGTAACCAGCTGTAGATGAGGTATGCTTTCTTAATGTGATATTATCTCTGACTAGCTTTCTTTATGGATGTACTAAAATATTTGTTTACGCTTACCTGGCAAGCTGTACAATTTGGCAGATGTCTGTAACAATTACACTCAGTACTTGATTGATTATTTCCTCTTCAGTTAACTCATGCAATTAAAAAAAAAAAAGTTGAGCCTTGGATGCAGGGAGTCTTGACCCTGCTTTGTGCAGTACTTGGTGGTCATGAATATGCAGTAAGGCAGGGAACGGATTTGGCCAAAATCTGATCCACCCACATGGTGGGTGGGAAGGAAAGAAGAGGAGGAAAGTCTGAATGTTGGTAGTATTTCAAATCCTTGACATCTGCAGGAGCTATTGCTGTCAGAAGCAGATCTAACTTGAACTAGTGATGGTGCTTAGCTAATGTAAGATATTTTAAAACTCTTGGGTGCTACTCTAATTTTGCATTCAAACTTGAGCTCTGGTTACCCATATTAAAATGGTGAACTTAAGTCAGTGAATTATTGATTTAAATGCACAGGTTTAAAAAATAGAACTAGATACTTATTGTTCTGATAGAGAATAAGTCTGGCATGAGAAACTTAACATATCTGTTGTGCTGTTTCAGAAACAAAGTAATCCCTCCCTCCTGCAAAAAGCTATCAGTATTTAAAACTGAACAGAGAAAACAGAAATGGAGACTGTGAGCCAAAGGCAGTGTATGTCTGGGTAAAAGTGCCCCTTCCCATAGGGCACAGCCAGAAGCCAAAGCTCCTGGGAAATAAATGCTTTTTCATTAGTCACTTCTGTCACCATCACCTTTTTTTTGTTTTTTGTTAGGAAATAGTAAAAACCTATTTGAGAACCGAGCAAAAATTGAAGCCCTTTGAACAAATGAGGATGGTTACCACCCCCCACTATAGAACCCAAACCACAAACCTGCTGCTTAGATCTTGGTGGTGTGATAGAAGAGGAGAAATCCCTTCTGATTTCTCTACAGTATATGATTGTGAGTGAATCTATCCACATTAGTTACTCTGTTCTGTATGTGCTGGTCACACAGCAATACAGAGAAGCCTTGGGGAAAGATTCAGATGTTGCAACTTCTTCAGTGCTGTGGGCAGGATGGCATCATTAATGTGAGTGCTGATATTGCGGAATCATTCCTGGGTTATGTCTCTCAGTAGGTCTTGGAGTAATATGGAACCTGCTATCTAGGTTGCACTGCTTTGAGGTTTGCTGGAAACTGCTTCCAGAAACCTTGTTGATACAAGCTATGTATACAAGCTCTCTGTGTCAACACGTTTTGCTGTTACTTGAAGATCTGAAGCTCAGCTGAGCCCTCTTAAAGTTTGAAGCTGCAAGGCCTGTGTGGGTAGAGAGTGACTGATCAATATGAAATTGTTCAGTAAAGATCAATAAACACACTGGATAAATATTTGTACACAACCCTTAGCAATTTATTAAAGAAAGCTGGCATCAATAATTTATAGGCAAGATTAACTTGTTAACATGGGCTAACTTATTTTAAAATCATCTCCTTAAGGTAAAATTTATCTGGAATGAACAGTAATACTTAGCTTAATACCAAATTTGTACTTGTAATCTTGTCCGTTGTTTCTCTGAAATAGGTGGCTGCCTGGTTCTCTGCCAAACTAGAGGTAGCAAAAGCAGAATATCCCATTATGAACAGGTGAACTTCTAGAGTATAAGATAAATGTCTGAAATCTTGGGAAGTTCTGTTCAGAACTAGGTTGTTTAGAGTTATTTAATAAGTATGTCACGTGTCACTATATCTTCACAAAGTCAGTAGCAGATGAAGAGCACTACAGTAGAAAGACTTGATAATGGAGAGGAAATAAATATTCAGCAAGTACACATCTTGAACAAATAATGAATCATAATTTTAAAATTTTTTTCAAACTTTCTAATCTTACACAAAGTCAACGTGCCTGGCAGACTAGGACTTGCTTTCAGAGGTAGCAAACTGATCCATACAGGTTACTGACGGACTCAGACTCAAGATCACTCTCTAATTAAACTGCCAAAACTAAATAGTAACATGTAAATACCTGCTTTATAGTATTGTTTATGTACATTGTTGTGAAATGCTACCAACAATCAGCAACTTGAGATCTAATGTTTATACAATGAAGAAAACAAGCTACAAACTTACTGTAATGTATTTTACCCTTTCAAGTGGTCATGCTTATCAGCTTACTGCTCTCAAATCAGTTACAGTTCATAAGTCAAATTGTTGTCTAATAATGAACTTCATGTGATTTGTGTTTTTTTCCTCATTGTAGGTAAGCAAGTGAGAACCAAACTGTCGCAGGCCTTTAATCACTGGCTGAATGTTCCAGAAGATAAGATACAGGTACTCACTAATTATTTTTAAAGGGCTGTTATCTTTCTGCCAAGAATATCAATAGCATTGTTGTTAACGTGTTTAAGTCTTCTGATAATTTATGCTACATAATTTCCAAATATAATGTACAGCTTCAGCAAAATAACTAGTGCAAAGCTTTGGCTGTGGTGGAACACTAAAGAAACAATTTCCACAGTTTGTCTTGTGTAGAACAGTCACTGCTTTTCAAGTGTGCTCAACCTTTTGAGTTGTGGATGAGCAGTTGCTATTGTTACCCGCTGTGGTTATTAACAATGAGTTTTCCATGACTTAAGAAAGAACCTCGATGGTTACCTTGTAAACTACACATAGTGATTGAGAATAAGCTCTTACTATTTTGATACAAGAACATCAAAGCCAGCAGTCAAGTGAACTTTATAAACCACTTGTTTTGGACTTCTGGGTGGACTTCTTACACAGTCTAGAGTCCTTACTCTCTATTGAGAAACATTTGACCAGGAATATTCTTTTTTTCCCCTGTTGGACAGATCTGTGCAAGATGTGTAGCTGTGTGTTTAAACACTGGCTTCTAAAATGTGAAATTCCTCTTCTGCTTCAACTATAGTTTTGCCAAACTGCTTATTTAGGGTGCAGAAGGTACTCTGTATCCAAGGTAATGTAAGTAATTAAAGTAACCAATTGTGGTGGTTGGTAGTGTTTCCGTTGTGTTTTTGTTTTGACACTTACCTGGTCCCTAGCTAATTTCGTTAATAGGCAGGCCATTAGTGTTTGAAGAAGTCTTCTTTACAGTTGCTTGTGTGATACTTCATAGTCCTTGAGTAGCAAAATGGCTTAAGTAATTCAAACAGTGAAGGAAGAAGCTGCATTAGTCTCCTAGTAATCTTATTTTTTCCAGCCTTGTCCATTGTGATGGCTTCACCCTGATGGACAGCTAACTTCTACTACAACTGCTCTCACTCCTACCCTCCTCAAAAGGAAGAGGAAAAGAAATGCAATGGAAAAGGGCTTCAGGGCTGAGATCAGGACAGGAACATTGCTCACCAATTATCTGCACAGGCAAAACAGTCTCAATTTAGGGAGAATAACATAATTTATTGCCTGTTACTAACAGACTAGAGCAGTGAGAAACTAAAAGCAAACTAAAATAACCTTCTCCCCACCCCCCATCCATCTTCTACCTCCTCCTGAGTGGCACAGGGGAATGGGGGTTGTGGTCAGTCCATAACACTTAATCATCTGCCACTCCTTCGTGGTCCCTCTCTTCCCCTGCTCCCCGTGGGGTCCCTCCCATGGATGCCATCCTTCCCGAACTGAGCCTGCAGGGGCTGCCCACAGGCAGCAGCTCTTCAGGAACTGCTCCCACACGGCTTCGTCCCACGGGGTCCATCCCCCAGGACCAAACTGCTCCAGCATGGGTCCCCCACGGGTGGGGGCAGCTCCCCCCAGACCCCCTGCTCCTGCGTGGGCTCCTCTCCACGGGCTGCAGCTCCGGCCCGGGGCCTGCTCCTGCGGGGGCTCTCCTTGGGCCGCAGCCTCCTCCAGGCCACATCCACCTGCTCCACCAGGGGCTCCTCCACCCACTGGGGGGCTGCAGCGTGGAGATCTGCTCCATGTGGGACCCATGGGCTGCAGGGGGACAGCCTGCTCCACCAGGGGCCTCTCCACAGGCCGCAGGGGAACTGCTGCTGCCTGTCTGCAGCACCTCCTGCCCTCCTGCTGCACCGACCTTGGGGTCTGCAGGGTTGCTTTTCACTCCTCACTTCCAGCTGCTGTTGCATGGCAGTTTTTTCCCTTTCTTAAATCTGTTCTGCCATAAGCACAAGCAGCATCATTTGTTGGCTCAGCTGTGATTGAATCCCTTTTGGAGCCAGCTGGAGCTGGCTCTTACCTACCATAGGGCAGGTCCTTGGCACTTCTCAGAGGCCACCCCTGCAGCCCTCCTGCTGCCAAGCCCTTGTCACACAAACCCAATCTATCCATATAACTCTTTAGCCAGATTTATTCTGGTTTCCACCTAGACAAATATATTATAGCAACCTGTGTACTTGTATGCATGGCTTTAGTCAGAAATCATAGATCAAAATTCAAATTAGCAGGAATCTCTGGTAGTTATCCAGGTCAAGCCTGCTCTAAGAAGGACTTGTTCCATAGCTGCTTCAGGCTTCTGAGAGCCTTGCTGAGTCTTGAAAATCTGAGTCTGCAGCCTCTCAGGGCACCTTTTCCAGTGCTGAATCCCTTTCATGGTAAGTTTTTCCATTATGGCCTACTGGAATCTCCTGCACTGCAGTCTGCAGTTATAGCCTCTTACCCTTTTGCTGAGCACCGGTGATGATGAGTGTCTGTTGTTTTTCTAGCACCATAGGTAATTAAAGCTGCAGTACCATAGTGTGAACAGAAGTAACCAGTTCTACCTGTCACTTGTAAACAGGTAGTCATGTAACCATTATTGAAAACTTAGACCACTTGTTTTAGTTATCTTTATGAAGAAAACTGATGCTTTAATGTTTGTTTTACCACTTAAATGGTTTGTGATTCTCTAAATAACCTCAGGACGAAAACAAGACCCTGTCATCTTTGACTCTTGCTGAAATCGTTAGTGCTTTTGTCTATAATTGTACTCATTTTAATAATGTAAGGCTGTTGAAGTCAGGGTGACAGCATGTCCTCTTTGACATCTCTTGTAACTCTAAGTCTTTCCAGTTGTCTAGCAGCTTGATTCCCTTCCAGTTACTTGTATTCTATTAAAAATCTGAATTTTGATATTGTTTATCTAGCTGAATACAGTTGAGGCTACTGTTGCTTGGTAGTTAGTTTTACTACAGGCTACCATTACTTTACTATTTTCTCAGCCACGTGGTCTCTTTTCTACCTCCTGCATCCTTTAGTGCATTTTTTGTTGCACTGAGACACATCAGCTTTTTGAGTTAGAGAATACAGCACCTGTCAGATTGACTTTCTTCTAAGACAGCACTGAAATGGCCTGGCACAGGGCCAAGTAAAACTTAAAGCTGTTGCAGGTAAGAAGGTACAGAAATCTGGGTGTTGAAAGTGGTATTGCAGCGGTCACAGATTAAATGGGCTTGGGCTGTAAGAAAGCATAGTGCTCTGTGTTGGTCTTCTGCTTTCATTATGAAGAGCAGTCTTACTCATTTCCTCAGGCATTTCCTGATATCTTCTAGAAAATAAGCTTTTTCTGCTGTCTAAACTTCTTCCTGCCTCACTTCCAACCTTAAAGCATTTCTGACACTGCTTTTCCTTATGAAAGTTAACAACTCAAACAGTTATGAAGCGCTATTTAAGTTACTTCAATTCAACCTTAAATGTCTAGAAGCTCCAGAAGTTCACAGAACTGAAAGCAATATGAAATATGCTAACAAGAAATGCTAGAGTAGGCTCATCCAATGAATTCATAGGGAAACTTTTCTGATAGTACTGAAAATGACATAATGGACTAAACCAATATTCAGAAAAATAGGCATTGCAAAATTGCTTTTTATAATTACTCTATCCTTTATGACTTTAAAGTTAGTGGGCAGCAATGTACCTTTACAGGTCAAAGTAGTCCTCAATTCTAAGTCCTAGATGAGTCATTAGTGCTCAAGTAGCTTGTTCTTACAGTTGTTATCTTGGGCAAATAAACAATTTGACTGCAGGATTTCAGTTTAAAAACCTTTAGGGACAGTGGTCACTGAACACTAGGTGGCTTGCTGCTGAAGAAATGCTGGCAGCAGCAAAGTCCCTCTTAGTGCTTCCTAGAGCACCCACCAAGTACAAACACACTAGCTGTGTGCTACTATTTAATGATGGCCTTAATGGTTTTTAGAAGCAGTTGTTCTGATGAGTGCTTGAGTGCAATGCTTGTTGCTAGCAAGTATGACTGGCTCAGTAGCTTCAAAATGATGTCTTCTGTCACATGTTTTTGCAATGAGTTTATACCATATGCAGTTTTACATGCCTAAACTTACTTCCATTTAAGCAGGTGCTGAACATACCTGTTCCTTGCATAGGAGTTCTGCAATGAAAACCATAGACAGGCTTCAAGTTCTTGAAGTGTCCTGATTTGGAACTGTTAGGGCTTACTGTTTGTTGCATATAGCCAGCCCCGAGCTTGATGTTGTGAACAGCTTATTGAGTATAATAAGCTGCATATCTCAAATTAGTAAACCTAGACTTGTCACAACATCATGTTTCTTCTTTGCTCTATTTGTGTTTCTAATATGTCACTGCATGGCTGCTAGACCATGGCCTATTTTAGGACTGTAGCAACAATAGAGTGGAGTAGGTCCATGGAAACACTTTGGGGAATACATTCACATAGTGGCTTCTGTGATCAGATTTGGTGGTTCAGGACTAAATGGTGAACTGGATGATTAAGTGAATCATAAAACTAATAGTAAGAACAAGTGGTCTAATGGGGAGCGTTGGTGACAAAGAATATCATGCTTTAAAAGTTTTCCTATTGTAAATAAAATCTCTCAAAACTGGAGGTTAAGTTGCAGTGGGAGATAATAATTTTCTCTTCTTGTAATAGGTTATCATTGAAGTGACGGAGATGTTGCACAATGCAAGCCTGCTTGTGGATGATATTGAAGATAACTCAAAGCTACGGCGGGGCTTTCCAGTGGCTCACAGTATCTATGGAATTCCATCAGTAATCAACTGTGCTAATTATGTGTATTTCCTTGGCTTAGAGAAGGTTTTAACCCTTGATCACCCAGATGCTGTTAAAGTTTTTACCCGTCAGCTGCTGGAACTCCATAAAGGTCAAGGCCTGGATATTTACTGGAGGGATACTTACACCTGTCCTACAGAAGCTGAATACAAAGCTATGGTGCTACAAAAGACAGGTGGTCTCTTTGGATTGGCTGTAGGCCTCATGCAGCTCTTCTCAAATTATAAAGAAGACTTAAAACCACTTCTTAACACACTCGGTCTCTTCTTCCAGATAAGAGATGACTATGCCAACTTGCACTCCAAAGAATATAGTGAAAACAAGAGTTTTTGTGAAGACTTAACTGAGGGCAAGTTCTCATTCCCAACCATTCATGCCATTTGGTCAAAACCTGAAAGTACTCAGGTGCAAAACATTTTACGCCAAAGGACAGAAAACATAGATATAAAAAAATACTGTGTGCATTACCTTGAAAATGTGGGTTCATTTGAGTACACTCGAAATACGTTAAAGGAGCTTGAATCTGAAGCCTATAAACAAATTGAATCACTAGGGGGAAACCCTGAGCTTGTAGCACTAGTTGAACAGCTGAGCAAAATGTTCAAAGAAACTGAAAATTAATAAATTTATCTCTTGGGGGTGAATGGAAGCTTTGTAAAATGGGAAAATAACTAGATTATCTGAAAGGTGCGATAATCAGTCTCACTTAAAACTACTTGTGTTGCCACATTACAGAAATTACTGTTGAAACCAATTTGGCCTCTGAGTATTGTGATATATCCTATCATCTATATGGTCTTACTTGTAACTGCTTGCAGATGGCTTTGTTAAAGCATATGTACTACAGCTGAAACAAGCCATGAATCTGTGTGATCTTTACACAATCATTGGTGTTACTTCAGCCCTGGAACTCTCATAGGGTATGGTGCATATTCAACCAGGCTACTGTAGGTTTCTGCCTGAAGTTCCATATTAAATTAAATCTGATTAACCTGAGTGGCTTGTGTGTTTTTAAGCAATGCTCTAGTAAACCAAAATTTGCAATGTTAAATAACAAAAGATACTTGCAACCAGAATGCATGTACAAGTGTTGCATTGTAAATGTAAGCTACAATTGTGAAGATCAGATGGATCTTCATTTAATCCTAATGTGAACATCCTGTACAGTGTCTGAGGATACTTCCAGGGGAATACAAATTGTGGAAAATGTTTTTTTATCCAAGTGAGACTAATGTTTAGACTGAACTGTTAGCTTTATAGAGACTTCTGCTTAACTTAGGGAGAATGTTCTGTCACATCAGAAAAGCATGAATTTGCCACTGGTTCCAGCTCTGCTGTGAATAGCTTTGATTGCCTGGCTTTAGGTTTTTAAGCTGTCAAATATTTTGTAGCCTGGGACTTAAATCTATGCATTAGATCTCAAGCATGTAGCTGCAAATAGCAACATAGTAAGGTGCTATTAGGAATGGTATGAGATTTCACAGCAGGTAACTTTAAGACACTGATTGGTGCAGGTCTCTGTGATCTCTGCTTTTAATTGAGGGGGGTTCTCCAGGAGTTAATTCATAATTCATACCACATCTATGTTCTGATTTTGTATCAGGAGGCATGTTATAGGACTCTCTGTAGGGACAAATTCTGTAACTTTTGGCTAAGACAAAGTATGGTATTCTGTTTTATAAGATGTAATAATCAGTTTTGTAAATTGCTTAAATGTTGGTTTTGAGATGATGTACACAGGCTTGCATGCATTGAACTGAGAACTAGGTTAGAGGGATGGCCTGGTAAGTGACAAAAATCTCTGCTCGTGTGTGTGCACGCATACGGAAATGTTTGTTTCTTGGCTGGGCTGGCTTTAACCATAACCAGGTTCAGTTTCTTTAGTCTTCACAGCCATATGTGGTTTTGCTCTGATGTAGGTTCGGATCAGAGGTGGGACTGATGCTATCAGCAGTGTCTTCAAGCTGATAACACACTCTCAGAAGAAATGGCCAGAGGTACTTGGCTTCTAACAGCTGAAGAGTAGTTCTGTGTGTGTGTTCACTTACTCTACCTGGAAAACAGGGAGAGTCATTACCTCAACCCAACTAACTGAAGAAGGCTGCTATAACATCTTCCTTCGGCAAGCCTTGGGAGTCTTCCAAGAGTGATCAAGCAAGAAAAAATTCAGGATGACTGCTTTTAGTCAGAGACATTACGTAGGTATAGCTGATAGCTTATTCATTTTATCTGCGTGCTGAGGAGGGATCTCTCTGCCTTATGATTAAGCACAGAAAGTAGCCTTTTCACTGAGTGGGCCTGGTTGCCAGGATTGACTAGCTTAAATTTGAAGGGTATCTTTTATTTAATGTTAATGACAGTGACTGTATTTCCTTTCTTAATTTGTAGTGCTTAGTAGTAAGCCTGTACATTCCTAGTATTTTATGGAAAAATACCATCTGCAGCAAAGTGCAATGCTTATTTTGTGCCATGTCTTAGGAGTTTCTAAGCACTGTTGCAACAGTGCTTAGTGATGTTGAATGATGGAGAGAAGAAAAAACATTGTCAGGAGAATCTCCTAGCCTTACTGTGTAAGATGTCTTTCTGCTGACTAGGATATTATGACTATGTACAGTGCAAAGTGCACTTAGTGCCATTTCATTTTGTTCAGTTGCTGGATGTAAATAGTTGTATAATCAAACTTCCTTGATGAAGTAGGGTTTTTTTATTTTAAAACTTTTTTTCTACCATCTGAGATTTCTGCTGTGTAGTCAGTTCTTTGGTTTATTCTGGCAACTCCTCCCAGTATTTAATACTGTATCTTGCCAAAACATGCATCCATTAACTTAAGAGCAGGTACACTGGAAGCTTTCCAGCTCTGGGCCCTTTAAACCACAAGATAAGAAAAGTACCCCCAAAAAGGCAGCTGGACCAACAAGAAACCATGCAGCTCTGTCTTGCTGTTCTGCCTGGTATTTTGATACCAGACTTTCGATGCCAGTAGTTACAGCATTTTCTGACGGTGTATCTTAACAATACTCCACTCCTGAGCACTTTGCTCTTCGTTTTGGCTAGAATAAATCAAAACCTTTCAGGATTTTTCTTAATGTATTCAGAAGCTGGAAAGGCCAGACTCTTTCCCTTGCATTTCATAAGCCAGTAAAGCATCATTAAGCATAGTCTAGGCAGATTTTATATTTTGGTGCCAGAAGAGATGCTGTATCCTCATCTATATTCTCCAGCATTGGCCCTGGTACAAGCTCCTAGTGTTCAGCCATGTTAGGTAAATAACTTCCTTGAAGCTGCATGAGTTGTCTTTGGCTGCAGAATTCATTTAGCTGTGTCAGTGCATTTCTCAGGGGTCGGATGTCACATCTGTCTTTGCCTCTTACATGGTCAACGTTACCTGCATCAATTGTAATGAACGTGGTATCTCTTCAGGACCTCCCTGAGGAGACAAGCTTGTCTTCTGCCTTTCCCTTTGAGCTCAGGCTGCTCCATGAACCCACTAAGAGCAACTTTGTACGCATCAGCCAGCTGCTGACACAACCTCTCATTTCCACACTGAGCCTCAAAGCTGAATATTGAAACTTTGAGTACCTCAGCGAAGTTTCTTTCTGTAAGTCTCACATTGTTTCAGTGACTGAACTGAGAAGTTCAGCAGCCAGGGAAGCTCTCTCTGTACTCTGCTTCAAGACTGCGCTACTCTGGAGATGCCTACAGCTAATGTGACTCCTAGTAAAGCAACCTTGTAATTACTGTTTGTGGGAAAGATGCAAACTCTTACCTCTAGGTAAATGTGTGAAGGCTACTGTGTGGACTCATTCCTGTGAGACAGTAAAAATACTTTGAAATGTGTGGTCTTTGGGCATTATTATTTTCCTTTCCCTCAGAAGCCATCAAGAGTATCGAGAGAGTTTCATAGTTGAGTGCAGAAGGTATGGTGTGATGGGCATAGTATCTGCTCCTGTTCATGAACAGAACGTGAAGGAGGTCTGGCATGGTCTCTGTGAACATTGCAGTGTTTTTTTTTTAAATGCAACCCTATGAAAATCTCTTATGCTCATTATAAATACACACAGATTAAGCATCTCCAGTAACTTCAGTTACTAATAAAGCTTTTTCTGATAACCTCTGATGCTAATTTTTCTTCTACATCAGTATGTTGAGTGAAGTGCATGTTCCACAGAAATCAGCTGTTTTCACATTTTGTGGTTAGTGTAAGTAGTGATCTAGTTCAGGCTATAGAAATAGGACTATTTAGGAGCACTCTTAAATGTTATCTTTCACAATTCACATCTAACCCCAACCCACTTAATTAGCTACCCTTTTAATACTTTTATTTTCTTAAATTAAGGTTTCATGTTAGCTTAGTATACGTATTTTTTGGTAAGAAGCTAAGCTTCACCATTCTACAAGAGGTCAAAGATGCTATAAGGAAGATCTTATAAAATTGCAGCATACCTCACAGGTCACAAAGAAATGACCATACAAGGTGAAAGCTATCCCTTTTCCATTTGATAAACCTTTCTTCTGCACTTTCATGCAAATGTTCCTAAGTTCACCCTTGAAGCCCAAATGGCATTTTCTCTACTTAATTGGACTTGCTGTCAGGGAGGCTCACGCAGTAGGTGTTCAAATGAACTTCAGCAAACATTTTCTTCTACTTGTGTTCTGCTGTGCTAGAAGTGCTATGCTACTTCATGATCCTCTAGTCTTCATGCTTTACCAAGGGCTCCTATTCTTCACTGTTAACTCTCTGTAAAAGACAGACAAACGCTGACCCCACAACCCATACAACCCATCATTCACTGCAGAACCAGTGCTTTAGAATCTACTCTTTCCCAAATTTTTTCTACAGCAAAGAGATACCTTTTCTATTTAGTTAAAACATGTAGTTGCTGTTATGTATGCTCACCAGTATTCTCCTGTAAGTCTGTTTCTCGGAAATTCTTATCTACATTCCTCTGTTGCTGTAATTATGATAGAAATGCTACCTTGCACTGTGCTATACACAAATCTAGTTCCTTCTTCCAGCCTGGCTCTAAAAAGGACTTTATTAATGAGAAGTGAGGAAAAGCTTAATCTGCAAAGCAAACATGAGTTCATGTAAAACAGAGTGGGAGGAATGAGATGGCAAGAGAAATTAATTAGAAATGGTAGAGGTCGGGATCTGATAAATATCAGATTTAATACTTAATATTGTTAAGTGAGTCTGTAATTTGAGATGTGATAGTTATTACTGATGTGATTAGCAGCTGATGTGTGTGCAGACATGAGCTTTTAAAGCTAGCAGTAAAAGGCCTTACAACTGTAACCTAGCTTGTTAGACTTTGTATTCCGTCTTTTCCAAGTTTACTTTCCCCAGTGATTTATCCACAGCTTTAGTTCTGCATTTTTATTTGCCTTCCACAAACAAAGACTTACATTTAGGGTGTGGAAAATATACATTGATATTTCTAAAACTGTTCATGGCAGTGGGAAAGAAGCAGTATTTCTTTAAGCCTTCACCTCAGTGGTTGATTTTGCTACGTAAGAAGTACCTAAATGCCTTTGTATGCTGTGGAAATTTCCTATGTTAATGGCTTCTTCCCCCAGTTTTTGTTGAAATGCTAACATTATGGTGTAAAAGCATGAGTTTGTGTATATTTTCCCACCTTTTTATATAAAAATTGATTCAAAATCAAATGTCTCTAGCACTGAATTGAGCCAGGCTTTTATTCACGTACAAGAGCTATATGGGCATCTGTTGCTCCTAGTTCTGTCTTAATCTCATCATGTTACGTTTCAGGTTTGATATTTACTATGCTCTTTGTATTATTTGCTCAGTACTTGCATTGTAATTCTCTTCCTTCCTCAGCTATATTTCTGGGTTGCTACTAATGCCATAGCACACACGATACCGTCAAACTCCTTTTTGGTCCTGGACAAAATAGTCTGGTTTGCTCCTACTTTATATCTTGGCTCATCCTATGCCATTACAAAAGTAATCCAAGATTTTCTGCAATCTTGAAATGGAAGAAACTTTTTTTTTTTCCAAGATGCTAAAGCATTTAACATTTTATGTTGCCATTTTCCATGTAGTTGGACCTTCTTTACCTCTCCGAAGTATTTGCCTTTAACACTTATTTTGCTTTTGTGGTATCACTCATTATAGGCCTTTTCATGAAAGTTTACCTTGCTAACCAGGGAGAAGAGGATTTTTTTTTGTGTGTGTGTATGCGTGTGTGTTTTGGTTTTGGTTTTTTGGTCTGGGTTAATGAATTATTCTACTCAGCAAAAGCCTGATGAATGCCAAAGCTGGCAGGTGGATGAGGCAGAAGCAGAGCCAAGGGAAGGATTTGAGAGAATAAGAATACCCATTTTAGGCTCCTGAGGCTGCCTCATGTAATTTCACCTTGTTTTACAGCTCTCATTCACTTTGTTAGGGAAAGAAAAAAAATGCATTCAGTTTTCCTGAGCTTCCCTTTTTACTTTCCAAATGTAATGCAAGAGATACTAGAGTTATAAATGACTTACTCTGATTGTTATGTAAATAACTTGCATAATTACTTGCATATATTATTATAGTACAGATAAAACAAAGGGTACATTGTTTCCCTAGCTTCAGGAATAGAAAAATTGTTAGAAAATTACAGTAATTGAACAATCTGTTACATGCTGACATGATTTGATCATTACCTCACTTTAGCATCCTTCCTGGATGGCTTCTATTAGACCTCACCACTGGCATTCACCTTTTCTACAGCAGTTTCTTTTAAATGACTTCAGAAGGCAACGTGGTGAGGAGGTAACAAAATAAATCATTGTTTTGATGCCCACTTACTGGCTTTTATTTTTTTTTTTTAAATAACAGAGTAAATCTAAGTGCATATGTTTTTCTTTACTAGCTACATGTACACATTCATGCTTGTCACTGAGGCTAGTGGTTCAGCTGGTGTGGCTGGGAATAATCCATGATTCATGAATCCACTTCCATTCAAGTGTATGACCTGCAAAGTTTATAATTAGGCATTTGCTGAGCAATTCAGTTTACTGCAGCATAGAGAGCCATGGGAGATAACTCCCAAGAAGGCTTAACATGACACTTCCAGGGACAGTGCTACACAACCTATGTGAGTAACTCTGATGTGAAGAGAAATCCTAGATAATTTTCTGCTCAAAAACAATCTGTGAAAATCCTCTTTACTCCCTTGGAAATGTGAATTACATGATATGGTGCCAGTTAGCACATGTATCTCCTCTGGATCACAGTGGATTATTTTCACTCTTCATAAAGTTTCAGTTGTTATTTCTGGACCATATGGTAGAAGTTGCTTAATGATTAAAGTAATAATTGAAGTCCATTAAAAAGGGGGGTGGGGGGAAAGAAAAATGATAAACTCTTTTTTTATGCTGTTTTGAAATGCATATAAAAGATGGCCTGTTGTCTTGCTGTAGTCTAGCATATGTTAGCCTGCAGTGAACTTCTGTTAGCTGAGGGAGGCACGACAACTCTGCATCGACTTCAGTTACTAAGCACTCAGGCGCATGTGGCATCAAGGCCCTGTGAACAAATCAAAGGGAGAAAAATGAAAGTGCTTGCAAAGAAGAAACACAAAGTTATTTAAAAATAGAACTTCAGGTAATTGTGAAGTTAATGCACAGAGACATAGAACTAAAGCCACGGAAAACTGTGGGAGTTAACTGAAGAACCTATTGCTACTTACGTTCCTTTTGCGGGTGGGATGGGACAGTGCTACACAGCCTGATGTGAAAACACCATTAAGTAAAACACGGTAAAAACCTTTTGAAGGAATTGTCATTGCTATTCCCAGAAATGTAAAAAGTGTGCTTTAAACCCATTTTCTTGCATTTCAAGTCAACCAAAGTGAATGTTAAAGAAATTGTGAAGAAAGATCTTTTACTTAGGCACTTATAAAATGTGGAGCTTGTACGTCTAGTAAAAGGTGAAAATGTTACATTGGTCTGGTTGTTTTATTTGCATTGTCCTGTTGCTGATCAAATAAAACCAAGTATGTTGGACGAACTGTACCTGTTTGTTGATTGTAGTGCTAAACCAGAACAATAAGTATATAATGAGTATATAAGTATATAAGAAATAGAATAAACAGGAAGTTATGCTATTTTCAGCATCATCTCAGAAATACTAAATACAGAAATTCAGCAATACATACATAGGTTCTCAGACTGCCTGAATTGTCTACAAACATGCTGTTAGGGTCAAAAAGGTGGTGAAAAATATTGTTTTAAGCACCTTTCCTGACGTGCAGGAAAGAAGTGTAAGATCACTTACTCTTCCATTCTGGCCAATTAATATTCAGCATACTGAGTGCTGTTCCAAATAAACGTGTAATTTAGGAAAACAGCCTGACAATAATTCATAAGGATTAATAAAAATATTGCAACTGCCTTTGTAGTACTATTAATAATGAAGTTAAGGATGTTCCACATTGTTGGGACTGCTGTTGGAAGCACAGTAGGGGAATTTTGAGAAAGAAATTTGCAGGAGGGGGAAGGACATAGAGCAGAGGGAACGCTCCCTTTACAAGAACATGTACTGCTAATACTGCAACTGCTGCATAGAGTAGCAGCCAGCTACAAAACTGAGCAGGACAGTGCAATGTACCGCTTTGTAGACGTGTGAAAGAAAGTAGGTTTTACTAAACATTTTGACTTTTTTATTTAGTTGTTTTAAAGGTCAAAACTCTTGATGTAAGTAAAAACCCAAAGAAGCCATAAAAGCCAAGAGAAAAGTGATTGGTTACAATTACAGGTCTGGCCACCCCAATTCCTTTCTGACAGAAAATGCCTTTTCTTTGGTGATTCAGACAAGCATATCTGATAAAGAGGGAGAAAAAAAAAATAAAAATAACTCTATTTCACACTAATTAGCAAGATGAAGCTCAACTCCTCACACTAATACATGCTCTCAGCTTTGCACTCGGGAGCAGTGAACAAGTCAAAAATGAAGAGCAAGAGGACTTAGTGATACTGCTTTTGCTGTCACCCTGGTACCACGGTCTGTGTAGATGGCTTCTGCACCACTGAAAACTGGACAGCCTTGCTCCGAGGGTGCCCTCTGTGGGAGCTGACGGAGCACTGGGTGAGAGGGCACCACCGCCAAAGGTGTGGAAGATGGACTTGGACTTACCCCAGAGATACCAGGTGGCCTTGGAAAACTCACCTACTTTTGGCAAAGAAAGCTTTTAGGTGAAGGCACAAAGGTCTTCACTGGCAGGCCCCTCTGGGGAGCAGCTGCTTTGTGCCACACAGCTCAGTGCGGCTGCGATACAGCGGTGTTATCAGACGCCTGTAACCAACACCGCAGCACCAGGTGTGCGGCGTGTGGGCTGCTTCACGCCAGGTCACACAGGCAAAGGCCCCGCGCCAGCAGGGCTGTGGCAGCAGGGCCCAGCGCTGTCTCCCTGCAGAGCACCCCAGCCAGGGCAGCCTGTCCTGTCCTGTCCCGTTCTCCTTCCCTTCCTCCCGTCCTGCCTGTCCTGCCCTGTCCTGTCCTGTCCTCTGTCCTGCGCCTGCCTCGCCCTTGTGCTGAGCAATGCCTGTGCTCGCTCCTTCCAGCCCCTGCTTTGCTCCGAAAGCCACCCGCTCACTGTCAATGGTCGGTGCCTGCCGACCTGTGCTGCTTGGCTCTGTTGTTTTTTTTTTTCCCCTTTTCTTTTACATTGTTTTTTTATTTTTATTATTATTTTTATTTTCACTGCTTCCCTCGCACACGAAGCCCACACAGAACCCCCTGCCCTCCTGAACTACACTACCCAGAATGCCACACGGCGCGGGCGCCAAGGCGCCTCGGGCCATTGGCGGCCGCGCCGGGGCTGAGCGGGGCGGGGCGGGGCGGGGCGGGTGCTGCCAAGCTGCGCAGCGCGGAAGGCGCCGGGGCTCGCAGGCGCTGCGTGCACTGCTGCTGCCGCCCCTGCTCCTGCTCCTGCTGGTGCTGCGCGCGCTGCCCCCGCCCTGCCCGCCATGAGCGAGGCGCTGGGCCGCAGGGTGCTGTGCGGCGCGGAGCGCGCGACCGTGCGGTACGTCGGCGGCCTGCCCGGCGCGGCGGGTAGGTGGGCGGCACCCGGTACCCGGCACCGGGCAGCGCGCGGCGGGCGGGAGGCGGCGGCTGCTGGGGGAGGTGGCCGGGGAGCTGTGGGCTCCTCAGCCTCGCCACAGAGCCCCTAAAGGCACGGAGCTTGTGCCCCAGGAGCCTGTTTCCAGGTGTGCGAGGGACAAAATGGCAGCTGGGGATGGTGGTCGGAAGGGATGGGTCCTTCTTGGCCAGCCCGGTTACCGCTGTGGTGATGAGATGAGGAATGTGGGCAAACCATGTGGGGGATATAGTATCCTGTGTGTTTAATAAGGCTTTTTACACAGTCTCGAATAAAAGTATAACTTGGAAGCTAGGTAAGTCCAAGGCAGATGGAAGGGTTGTGAAGTGGGCTGAAAGTCTGCGGGTCGGTCAGGCAGAAGCATGGTAATCCATGGCGTGACATCTGGCTGGTACCTGTAACTGGTACCTGTAACGTACAGGAAACCCAGAAGTAATTCTGGGGTCTGTACTGTTCAATGTCATCGTCAGTGTCATGGGTAATAAACAGAGATCACCCTCAGCCGGCTGGCGTAACAAAAACCAACCCACGTAACAGTCCTTCATCCACCTTGTCTTTATCTAGCTTCCAAGTTAAAACCCAGATCACCCTTAGCTGGCTGATGTAACAAAAAGCAGAACTGCAATCCAGAGCAAGCTCTGTGAACTTTAGGAGTGGGCCTAAGAAATTCCAGGAGTATGAATTTCTGCATGTAGTGTGAAATAAGCCCATGTTACTGGGTTACCTTAAAATGCTGAACATGGCCAACAAATTAAGGGAAGCTGTTGTCTCCCCTCTGAGGGCAGAAGTTCTAGATAAAGTTGCCCTTGGAATAATGTGTCTGGTTTGGGTTATCCCAGTTCAAGAAGGATGCGGATAAACTGGAGAGAATCCAGTTTAAACTGGAGAGAATCCAGGCTGCCAATGGGGTCAAGGACATGGATAACGTGTCTTGTGAAGAGAGGTTGAGGGAGCTGGGCTTGGTTAGCGTGGTAAAGAAGAGAAGTTAGGTGACATCAAATAGTGGCCTATGGGTGTTTGAAAGATGGTAACGAAGATGACAAAGCCAAATTCTTTTATAACAAAGAGCACCAGCCACAAGCTGTGTCTTGAAAGGTTCAGTTTGGACATCAGGAAAATCTTTTCCAGTACAGAAACAATGTGGCCCTGGAATAGGCTGCCCAGAGAGGTTGGAAACATTCTTCTTGGAGTTTTTCAAGATTTGGCTTTGTAGAAACTTAACTGTCTAACCTGATCTAGCACTGGTAATACATGTAATCTTCTGCTTTGAGAGGGAAGGTTAGGCTAGATGAACTTCAGATGTTTCTAGAGCTATAACGTCTTACATTTGAAAATGTATCTACCATATTTTTCAGGAATTTGGCTTGGAGTAGAATGGGATGATCCTCAGAGAGGAAAACATGATGGTACCTACGAAGGAACACAGTATTTTAAATGCAGGTGAGCTGATTCCCATTGTTAACAGTGTCCTGCCTATTAGCAATATGGTTATGGGAAAATGCCCTTGGTCAATTTTTCAGGCAAATCCTTTTGTTATCGATTGGCTGATATTTAAAAAGGTAATACATTTGAATGCTGTGACCAGCTATGCCATAAAGGCTCTTCCATTGTTATAGATCCAGTTATAGGGATTAGAATGCAGTAAACAGTTGGAAAATACAAGTCGTGGTTTCAGAGGTGGGTAATAAAATGTGATTTTCTTGGATATTGTTAGTCTTACCTTAGTAGGCCTTTATCTTCTACTTCAGTAAGAAAATCAGTATGTCCTACTTACCTTTCTTATGTCAGTGAAGTATTGGTCTGTATTAACTGTCTCAGGTACTGTTTTGTTTTAGATTTAAGATGACTTGCATGCATAGTGTTAAGGGAAACTACCAAGTAACAGATAATGATTGATTGATCCTTGAACCACTCAGTAACTGTTAAGTAAGTTCAGTTGTGTTTAATGGATGCAAAACACAATGTAGCTGTGTGGGCTTTTATTTTTATTTAATTAGTATACGCATACATTGTATTTAACGTGGAAGACTCAAGCACTTAACACATTTGAAATTGGGGAATGCAGGACTCCAGGGCAAACAGCTGCAAGCTGTTGATTGCCATGTCAGGGGCCACTGCAACTGCTGAAAGTTTGAGTTAAAGAAAATACCTGGATGAATTCATAGAAGAAAAGTCCAGCAATGACTCTTAAATACTGCTGGCTGCTAGCTCAGTAAGTTCCAGAGCAGACAGTTGGTGAAGGACAAGAGAATACTGAGGTTTTATCATCAAAATACTTGCCTTGCTTTTACATTTACCCCAACCGTTTTCTTTTGGCTGCTTTTGGAGAAAGGGTGCAGCATTACATGAATGTTTGTTCTGACCAATGTATCACAGCTGGTCATACCTTAATGAGACAAAATGGAGACAAGATTTATACGTCTTTTTTGTCTTCCTCTTATGTTCATAGGCTGGTAGTAACTGTAAAAGGGCAGTTTGATTGCTGTTTGTTCCTAACTTTGTGAGTGCTCATTTAAGTAAAATAAATCTAATATAAATCAAATTCTATGACAGTGAACACTTAGATTTTCAAAAGCCTTCAGTTCATCCTGAAGGAAAATGACAAAAGAAAATAAGTTATCTGTGGTCTTGCTTTAGGATGTGTGTTTGCTTTGGTTTGTTGGAAGTGTAAGGCTTCTCTGAAATTAATTCCTTGTGTTAATTATGCTGAGAAAGTTAGTCATCGATGAGAAGATAAGCAAATTGTCCTTTTTTTTTCTCCAACTTGCATGTGAATGAAGTTCATAAGACTGGCTGAATGAAGTCAGTCCAAAGATTTGTGTGATACTGGCTAATAGCAGATGACTGGAAGAGTGTGAAAGAACAAGAAAAGTATGTAGCAACAGTCTTGCTAGCTTTAGCTAGTCACGGTTCAAAGATTTTTCTGAGCCGGAGGTAGTATATATGTATATCTATTTTGCTCTGAATGGATGATTCAACGGAAAGAGTTCTTCCTGTTAATTTCTTCCAAAATAATAATTAAAAACATGTAGCCATGGTGCATGTGTTTGCTAACTCTAGAGCACGTGTTTTCAGCTTGTGGAAATTGTGATTGTTTCCATTTTTATGAGCAGATGAGTTTTGGCACCTTCTCTGACCTGAATTATAGCTCAATGGTATGGAAGGGACTGAGAGAACTGCACTGTTGCTGTATGACACACAGAAGAAGAAGAACTGAGATCAAAATTACTATTTCTATATTGTGAAAAAAAGTCTTCTATCTGCTGAAATATCTCCAGGGGGACAAACAGAATACCCTGAGGTAGCAGAGGAGGCTTCTGTACCTGTGTCAAGACCTGATAGTGGTTCCAGGCCTGTTAGAGAATATACTCTGCTATCAGTTCACATGAAAGTTGTTCTCAAACCATCAGGCAGAGCTGTTTGGTCTCAGACTGAATCAACAGAATTTACCTATTAAATAATTCAAAACTAAGAAGTAGCTATTTCAAAATCCTTTTTGGGAATATTCTCTGCCACCCTTAGCCAAACAGGGAAGAGGTAGATTGTGTTCAGTAGTGCAAATCAGAGTTCTTAGTCTGTCTTCTTAACTTCCACATTTGTGTATGGTGGGAGCCCTAGAGACCTCATTATGAGAAAATGAGATGATAACACAAAATATGGTCTTTAGAGAGAGAAAAAAAGAAAAAAAAAGACAAAAATAAGGTGAGGCTTAAGGAGGATAAGGACATTTTTGATGGAAGAGAAGAAATTCAACATTCCTGGATTTTTCCTAGATAAAGAATAGAAAAAGGTGGTCTTTAGACAACAGTGTCTTCTGAGTTTGTTAGCAGAAATTCCTTTTTAAATGCCTTGAATTCAATTGAAGCAGTTTCCAAGTTAAAACTAGTTATTTTCTGCTGTAGGAGAACTAATGCAAGTAATCATTAGTATGCTCCTAGGAAACATGAGCTCAGAGAACACTCTCAATTCTTGTTGTAAAAAATCTGCTTTCTGAATGAAGCTGCACATAACCATAACAGCCCTAAATGTACTCATCTTTGAATATGCTGTTCATACAATACCTGTTCTTTGTATTCTGTTTTCTGGAGTATTTCTGAAGATTAAGAGAACAGACATAACTGTCTGTGTAAGTGAATACCTTATTTTGTCAAGAAGATGATTTAAAAAAAAAAAAACACCTTAAAGTATCAACTCTTTTTTTTATCAAACAATAGTAGTAATCTTTTACATTGTTTCTTTATAATGTGTATATGTATGTATATATATACATATATAAAAATAAAATTTGTTTTTTATATATATATGTATATAATCAAACCTTATCAGTAGTGCCCTTTGCTTAGAAGTCTGCTTCTCTAACTCCTTGAATTCTGATAAGCAAAAGCAGCTGATGGAGTACCTTAAACTGTAAACAAATAACTGTAAACTGTAAACAAAGACAAGCTTTTATTTTTAATTATTTCTAAGGTAATTTTGAAAGGGATGCTTTAAAAAAAAATCTTTCACAGTGATATTTCAAGATGACATCACAGGAAGAAAATAAAACTGAATATGAAATTTTCCTTCCCAAAGGATCTTCTTAGGAGTCCTCATTTGGATAAATCAGTAGGTCTGCAGACAGCTGTATGTAGTCTATGTAGTATGTTTTGTGGAAACACTACCTAAACTCATATGTTTCATGGCAATATGTATCTCTGAATCATATTTTATGTGATACAAATTCAACTTCTTAAGAATCTGAGAACCAAAGAACAACACAGCAGTGCTTCAAAACACACAGACATCGTGAGTGTGTTTATCAAATCTGGAGTAGCTGGAAATGACAATGAATACTCTAGTGGCATTTGTGATTCTTCTTCCTGATAATGAAGTCTTGTTTCCTAATAACTGAGGAAGCTGTTATTTTACCTGTCACCCGCACTACTGTATCATCTAATAAAGTAAGCTGTGTTCTACAGCGCCTCGAGAAATGAGACGTGAATAATCAAGCCTTACAGCAGTGTTAAAATGCACACACAGCAATGAAACCGGAGTGTGCTTTCAAAATGAAGTTCTGGTCGCACACCTCCTTTCACACAGTGACACGGGAGTCCTGCCCTGGTGGCTGTGGGTTACGGGGGCACCTGCCCTGGGCCTGCGAGCCCCCTAGGTGCGTGCACCTCCCCTGGGAGACACAGGTGCTCCAGCTTTCATGCCCCTGCCTTGCTTCCCGCAGTCTGCTGGGGTGTGTGTGTGTGGGTAGGAGGCACCCCCAGGCTCCCACCTGCATGTTGAGATGTCAGGCACACAGCTTGCTCCTCACCACCTCTGTCCCCTCACTAGGCACGGGCTCACCTCAGCTCTGTCTGGCCTAGGAGAGGTCGTGCCCTGCTGGCAGGGTGACTTGGAAGCTGCAGGCCGGGTCTTGACTGCTGGACTCAGTACCCTCATCTCTCTCCCCCCAGGTACAGATGTTTAGCTTTCTGTCATGCTTCCTTTCAAGCCAAGTCCTCCCTCCACCCAGATTCTTCCCCCCAGAAAAAGTCTCTGTGTAATTCCTGGTTACAGCTTAATCTGGCAGAAGGGTCATCTTCCTCCTTAACCATACGGGGTTTTTGGACAGACATCCTCTCAGACAGGTTCAGCTATCCCATTCACACACAGTGTTTACACGTGCATGGCTGTTTTAGCAGCTAGTTTTTGTCCACACCATTTTGGCAGTGAGATGTTTGGATTCCCCTGTGCTAGCTGACATACTTCTCTGCTTACCGCATGAGTTGGGAGTGACGTCCTGTTTTATCACACACAGTGCTTTGGTTCACGGTTGGAAGGGATGAATTCTTTCCTGCTGAAGAATAGCTTTGTTCTTTACAGAGGAATCCTGGTTTTATTTGATTTATTAATCAAATTTGATTAATTTGAGCAGTGCGCTGTGCTGAGTGGGCATCTGCGCTGGGCTGGCATCAATACGGTGGCCTGTCCCGAGAACAACCCCACAACCCTGGCGTTATCAGCTGATGCCATTGCTAGAAGTGTTGACCCCATTAAATTGTAGCCTCTTTCCCCAGGGTTGCCTTTCAGAGCAAGGCAGAGAAAAGGAGGGGAGTGCAGGAGCTGTAAAACCTGCTTCTGTGGTGCGTTCAGCCAGGCAGAATTGCAGCTGCTTCTCAGCTCTTTGGGACTTGTTTTCTTCCCTTTGCTTTATTTTCTTCTGGTGGGAATTTGGACTCCTGTATATTTTTGTAGTCCTGAAATGCCAAGGTAGCCTTGCAAAGGCATTACATGTCTTCAGTTTCTTCTTCAGTGAATTTTAACAGTTGTGAGGGGCATGTTTGTAGATTTACAGACAGCACTTGTGACCATCAGCTGTCACTGTTTGCATGGCATTTATGTTCCTGCCTAAAAAAAAAAAAAAAGATCTGTTTATATTGAATTAAACTCTCTCTCCTTTAGGAATGACAGATTCACCTCCAGGAATATCTGCTTAGAACACAAGCAAATTCTTCAAATACAGGGAGATGTCAATCTCATTTTAGTGTCTATGAAGAAAAAGCAGTTTAGTAAGGGGAGTGTGCATTCCCAAGATTGCTTTTAGCCTCCGAAGATCTCAGAGAGGAGATTTGGATTGTTTCACTGTGTGGTGCTGTACCCAGCTGAGATTTCTGCTCTCTGCTGGCAGTGGGAGGGTGTTGAAACATAACTGCTGGCCCTAACCACTATCCAAATGTGTCCTGTGCACCAGCAGAGCCTTCAGATGAGCATCTGGAGCTGCAGATGTCGTGGTTTTATTTTTTTCTTTCCTTGTTTTGTGGAAGCTCAGACTCAGCTTTCATGTCTGTGTGACTGAGGTAAACTTAGGAGAACTTCAATTACTTGCTGATGCTTGCAAAGCTTCTGCTGTGCAGTCAGGAACTTGATACACAGCAGATGAGTCCTGGGTGTCCCTTACAAACCCTGTTTGATGCCGCAGCTATCACAGTCCCTATTCAAAAACAAATTGGACGGGCTTTCTTTACCAAAGTGTGTAGATTCTTCTAAAAGGAGTCTGATCTGCTGAGGACCTTCCCCTTAAAGGCAAAGACCTGTTTAGAGCTCATGCAGGAGATAGGCACGGTTTCAAACAGCTCTGATTGGTGACACCCTCTGAGCAGTGCAGGGTGTTTGCCTCCAGCCGTGGTTAGAATTGCCTTGAGGCAGTTGTGAAACAGCCAGTACTGAGCAAAGACACCCTTCCATCTACCTTTCCCATCCAGGCAGATAAAGCCGAGGCCTCTCCTTGGCTGAGAGGCGTGCTCACACCTGTGCCTGTTGGCAGAGCTGCGTTGTGCTTCGGGCACTGAGAAGTGCACGCGTGTGACATCCACGGGCGCCTGAGGAGCCGTCACGTACCTGTGATGATAGGCAACACTTCTGCTTCGTTCTTCATTAGCAAAGAAGACCAATGCCAATTTCCTCTTTTTTTTTTTTTTTTTCCCCTCAGGAAAATGGTTAAACAGCGGAAACTGGTAGCTTACCTGAATTTTAATGAGTATCCTTCAAGGGCCCCGAGCATGCCAGCAGATGGGCTGTATTGCTTCAGGCTACTGAGTCGGGAATAGAAAGTGCCCTACAAGCAGTCTTCCGAGATTGGGGTCAGCCTGCCTATTTTAAAAGCCAGAAAGAAGTGTCACTCGCTAACCAGAGCCAGCTGGTTGTCAGAGCCCCACTTGGGCATATTCCAGGTTTCCTGTGTAAGAACACTGGGGCGTACCTTCAGCCACTTCACCTCTGCTCATTGCATTGTCCTGGTTCTCGGACCTTCTGCACACATCAGAGCGAAATCCCTGTCCTCTGGCTTCCAAACGCTCAGCTTTAGCCAGGTTGATGATTAGTACTCACAGCCAACCATCCAATGTGCACACTGGGTGACTCCTTGGGCTAGGAATTGTCTGAATTAGCTGCTTGTTTCCCCGTTGTGGAGAGTGATGGCTGGTAGGTGTGCTTCTGCACGAGTCCAAGTGCTGTACATTGGCTGTGTGATACGTATGTATGGTTTGTACAGCTTGGTCTCACACAGCTTGTACTCCCTAGCGTGAAACTTAATATGGGCAGTGTATTTTAGGGAAAACAACTTGCAGGTAAATGACCTCCCTCCTCGCACATGTAGTCATTTTGCCTTAAAATAGGTTCTTACTGCAGCATCTCCTTTTCTGTCCTTCTCTCTGACAGTTCTTGAAAAAAGTAGATCAAATTAATAAAATGGAACTGGAAAACAAACTTAGGCTGTGGAATGGATTTGAGTATTTATTACGCAAGATAGCATTGAAAGGGACAGAGTACTGTCCTGGTTTCAGTGAGGACAGAGTTAATTTTCCTCCTAGTAGCTGGTAGGGTGCTATGTTTTGGATTAGGATGAGAAGAGTGCTCATAACAAGCTGATGTTTCAATTGTTGCAGAGCAGTGCTTGCAACAAGCCAAGGAAGTTTCAGCTTCTCACTCTGTCCTGCCAATGGGCAGGCTGGGGGTGAGCAGGAGCTGGGAGGGGACAGACCCAGGACAGCTGACCCAAACTGGCCAAAGGGGCATCCCGTACTGTATGGGGTCATGCTGAGCAATAGATAGGGGTGGCTAGCCAAGGGAGGAGGACCAGACTGCTCGGGGTTAGGCTGGGCATTGGTCAGTGGGTGGTGAGCAATTGCCTTGTGCATCACGTGTTTCATACACATTACTATTAGTAGTACTGTTATCATCATTATTGTTATTATTATTATTTTCCTGTCTTAATAAACTGTCTTTATCTCATCTCACAGGCTTCACTTTCCCGTTTCTCTCCCCCATCCCAGAGAGGGAGGGGGAGGGGGAGCGAATGGCTGGGTGGTGTTTAGCTGCCGGCCGGGTTAAACCACGACAGTACTCAGAAGTGATGGTAGCAGGAGAGAAAACCCCTATGATCTTCCTACAATCAAAACAAACAAACAAATAAAAAAAACAGGATGGGCTTGAGAGAGGGAATGCACCATACTTTTTCTATAGCTTCAAATTACCCTAGTGCCTAAGAAAGCAGGAGGCAAAATATCTAATTGTCTTTATTTTTATTTCCCGGAGGTTAGAACTGGTTTCTGCAAAGACAATGAGAGGACGGAGAAATGCATGGAAATGGTGACTTGGGAGGACAGAAGTGGACTTAGGAAGGGGTATGGTGATGGAGAGACCCAAAGATCTTGGCTATGCCAAGCATAAATGGCATGACGAGAAGGCTGGAGGTTTGGGCATCTGTGTTAGCTCTGATGAGAGGGTTGGGGAGAGGAAGGAATTAGCAGAGTGGTTGAGTGAGCAGCAGGATTGTTGAGTGCAGAGGAATGGAGATGACAAAGCAGGGAAAGTCGAGGTGATAGGAGAAGGAATAGCAGATTTCAAAACAAACATACAGCAGGATCTAGGGTAAACTACAGGCAAACAGAACAAGAAATGTTATTTATGGAGACCCCAGTGGAATCTTGCAGCATCTGCCATCTACAAAGCTGTTTGACTTAAGTAAATGCAAGTGTAGGAGTGATGTACATCACGTGTAAGTGATGTTATAATTAAGGCAGTGAAAATGTGATTTATTGTTTAAAGCAGTGTTGTTAAGAGGAAGTTTTTACATTAGAGGAAATTTGACATTTGAACTAAGCAAATGTTTGCAAACTATGAAGAACTTCAAAGAAGTGGAAGGAAAGGCTTAAGAGAGGTTTACTAAATCAAAAACACAGGTAATTGAAAATGCCTGTTGAATTCACGCTGGCTTCACATTCTCTGGGTAAATGTGCTTGTCTGCATGTTTTGTAACCATTGTACTCTAAACTTAGTTGCTACAAAACTAGACTGAAAATTGTTTTAAAGTAAATAATACGTTGGTTCTGTCTGGTTCTTTAATTGTGTTATGAGAGTACTTACTAAAATAAATACCAGAAATGTTAATGAATAAAGCTGGCACAGACAATTGCCAGTACTGATCATTTATAAAAATGTAAATATATGGTGTCCAGGCTATTCCATCTCCTTGCGATAGGTCCATAGGATTCATGGCATCTGGTTACTGTTTTTCTGAGAGAATTTTGGACTCTGTAGAGTTGATGATGTATATTATGGTTTGCTAATGAGCCACTTGACGTTTACACGCTGTTTTGAAAAGAGGAGCTTTATTTACATAAGTGGTTTCATCCTCCTGAGTACTTTCCAACCAGAGTCAGTGCTCTTCTCAGCTGGAAGGCAGGCAGGTAATCATAACTACCAATTTTCTTCCTGCTGTTTTCTGGCTGATCCTCCTATCAGATCCTCCATCTGTTCCGTGATACCATTCCCACAACTTGTCTTTGCCAGTTCATCCTACTATTTCCTTTCTAGTTTTGATAGAAATTGTCAAAGCAATTGCATGGCGAGAAATTGTCGTGTGTTTTTCAGCTCAAAGGAAAACTAAGAAACTTCATAGGACTCTGTAGAATGTGCATTAGCCAGGTAATTTTGTTAAATATTCATTTTCAAAATTTTACCAAGTTAGTATTAGTTGGTTTTTTTTTGTTTGTTTGTTTTTTTTAAGTTTGAGTTAGTATAACAAGAGGTACAATTTGCATCTTATGTCATTTGACAAAACTGCATTCTCTTAGAATTATGAGTGAATTATTCAAGTGAAATATAGTGAGGGAATGCTGACTATTCTGATTCCTCTCTTCTTCCTATTATTCTGAGTATTCCTCAGCCATAAGCTGAGCTAAGGCTCCAGACAAGTTTGTCATATGATTTAGGTCTGTTTGTGTCTGTCCATAGGTAGAAACTTATTTTCTGGGAAAACTCAGTACATAGTGAGTTTGGAAACAATGGAATGGTTATTTCTGATAATGGCACTGGCATGGTAATCTTGATGTGTAAGCACGTTTGGAGATGTGGTGCTTGAGTTCTCATAACATTCAAATGCTATCAGTGATACTTTGCAAGCCTTGCCTGGTTTCAGTGAGCAGGAGTGGTGCTCTAAAATCAGCCTGTAAAATTTCCCTTTGACTGCTTTGGTTCGTGGTATTTTTAATAAAGTAATGATCAGTAATTTTTAGACTTTCTTTTTTTATCATACTTTTGATAACTTTTCATATTTCACTGTTTCCTGGCTGTTCTTTTCTAGGCATCCCAGAGGAGGATCATTTATCCGGCCAAACAAGGCAAATTTTGGAGTAGATTTTCTCACTGCAGTAAAGGACCGATATGGGCTGAAGGAGCAAGATGTTCAAAATGGGACAAAGAATACATTAGTACTGGGAAAGAAGACTGTGGAACTTATTGGCATGGATTCCATTGCAGAACAACAAAGGCAAGTGTAATATATGATAATCTAGGATACGTTGCTGTTCAACCATAAGGAAAGAAAGAGGTATGTTCCTCAATGGCTAGGGTAATTATTCCATAGTTCTTGGAGTACTATTTCCTCTAAGAACGTTCAAGAAAGTTGTTGATGAATTAAAAGGTTATTTGAAATTTCTGATACAATTTGTCTAATTTCACATGATGCTCTTTATCTGATGTGATTGTGAGCTACTGCCAAGAGATAACCTTGCTTGTTCCCTTTCTCTGTGTCTGCTGTTTACTTGAACACGAGATCTGGTGTTATGTCAAAAGGTGAGCTGGTTCAGCTCATTGTTCTAGTATGAAACCATTCTTTGTTTTGTGGGTTGGTTTTCCGTTGGATCCGTGAACTAGCTCAAGTTGTACAGCAACCACACAGTTGCCAAATTGGAAAATTCAAGGAGAATGCATGGAGGGAAACAGGTACATTTTTCTTTTGGCAGCAACGTGTAACTACATGTAGACTAGATCTGGTGAAATGGCAGGTTTTGTTGCCCCTAAACTTACTCTGAAATTTCTTGTTAAATTAGTCAAGATCTTGCATGCAAACTACATTCAAGTAACTTTGGGTCTACAAATACTGCCGTTCTTTATCATGTTGGTACATGTTTATTTTAATGTGGCAGTATAGCAGGACAGAGAACAGGTTCCTGCTGAATGATAAATATCATGTGATTGAGATTGATGGAGAACAAATTTAATACAATAGAAAATTGCAAATACAGGGTTTTTGCTTGAGATTTCAATGAATGGATGGTAAACTGAGTATTTGGATAGCACACAGGATGATCTGCATATTATCAGTAATGTCTTTTATAGCATTATGTTTACCCATACACATTCGTGGTCCTTTAAAAATAGATGGATTTATGTCTTTTCTGAGTATTGTACAGTATTTCTGGTTTCATCTTTGTTTAATCACATCAGCACTGACTATGTAACTAAGAGAAGGAAAGCAGAAAGTCACTGTACTGCTAGTAAAGCCATCTCTCAGTCAGTTCTTGTCAATGCTCATTTATCTGGGAGGGTAAGAAAAAACAAATAACATAATGATGTGTAGTAGACTGCAGTTCTAATGACCTCCATTACCAGAGAGATAACAGTTCAGTAGGTGGCAGTCTCCTCTCCGGGACCACTGATGTACTCCCTTTGCCTCCCAGAACATACTTAGCAGTCAAAACTGATTTTTTTTTTTTTAAATAAATAAATAAATAAATAAATGTATATATAAAATGCTTAAATAACGTAGAACCTCTTGCAGAAATTATTACCAAAACCACGTTTAACTTGGAAACTCTATATTCCAGTTTGCATAGCTACAGTGTGTCTGTTTTATGACTCTTTTTTTACAGTTGGATAAGTATCAGGTTTTTTTTTGTGAGGAGGCAGAGGAGAGGGGAGTGAAGGGAAGAGGAAGGTGGGGGAAAAGGAAGAAATCGTGATTCAACCAGACCTACTTTGCAGTATAAGAATCCAAGGAAGTATAAATATCCAAGAAAGATACTAAAATGTGCAGTGCTAATTTATAGAATCATCTAGGTTGGAAAAGACCTCTAAGATCATCAAGTCCAACCGTTAACCTAGCACTGACAAGGCTACCACTAAACCATGTCCCTAAGCACCACATCTACGCCTCTTTTGAATACTCCCAGGGATGGTGACTCAACCACTTCCCTGGGCAGCCTGTTCCAGTGCGTCACAACCTTTTCAGTGAATAATTTTTTCCTAATAACCAGCCTAAACCTCCCCTGGTTTAACTTGAGGTCATTTCCTCTTGTCCTATTGCTTGTCACCTGGGATCTACCCCCACCCCACTACAGCCTCCTTTGAGGTGGTTGTAGAGAGCAATAAGGTCTCCCCCGAGCCTCCCTTTCTCAAGGTTGTACCACCCCAGCTCTCTCAGCTGCTTCTCATAAGACTTGTTCTCTAGACCCTTCACCAACTTCGTTGCCCGTCTTTGGACATGCTCCAGCACCTCAATTCCAAGTTCTAAAGGAGCTATTTATGAAAATATTATTTTCATAATATTATGTTATTTCTGTTCAAAGATTACTTAACAGAATGTTCTTTCTCATTTAGCCAGCTGAACCTACTGGTAGATATCTCGGTGCGTGAGTGTGCAGTGAGCCATGCTGGTCAGAAGGAGGAAATCAGCAGAACATGTGCTAGTATCCTTTTTTGAAGGTGCTGTATAATATGATACCACAAAAAAAGTATATATTTTAGCATTCCAAGTGTTCACTTCAAAGAATGAGGAACTGTATTTTTATCCTTTTATTAAAAAAAAAAAAAACAAACAAAGTTTAAAACCATAGTTTGTGTTTGGAGGCTTATTTCAATGCTTGCAGAGTTAAAATGTAGAAGCCTACAACTTTTGAGAAGGAATGCGGACTGTGGGTGAAAATAAACAATGTTGTCAGAGGTTGCTACTGTGACTGACGTTTCCAGCGTCGCGATTTTTAAAATTTTACTCTAGATTAGGTAAGCACATAAAAATACAGTTGATAGGTTCGGTAGGTTCCACAGGTTTCAAATATATAACTAATAATGTATTCAGCGTACTGCATGTTGTAGCTATATTAGAGGAATAGAAAGTGTATTTGTTCATTTGTAAGTATTGGTAAGAATTCCTATCAATACAAAAATTAATCCATTTTTAGATTTGTAAAGTTAAGCTCTCTTAACTCATTTTTGTACCACAGAGCAATGTAAAATTTGCTGTAACTGAATGGTAGTACCTCTTAGGGCAAACAAATGTATTCTATTTCTGCTTATTTGATTAAAAAAACAAACACCCTAACTCTAGTGTCTGAAAAAGGAAGTTCAGATTTGAGATGTTTCTTTTCTTAATATGAAATTTCAGATATCAGACATATAAATCTATCAAAAAATCTGCTGTCATCTTGGGATACAGTCACAGATATTGCTTCTCAAGTTCCAAATCTGGAAACGCTTAATATCAGGTATATTCATATTTGGGTTTCTGTACCTTTGGGGATATGAACAAAAAAGAAGAGGCTCTTTTAGATACAAGGTCAACGTTCATAAGATAATTGAATGCCTCAATACTGGTTTTAATTGGAGCTAAGTTTTTAAATACTTTTTTTTTTTTTTCATTATGTCCTTAAACAACGAATGCATGTGGTCATGTATGTGATCTCTGTTGTCCTATTACCAGCTTCCAAAGCCTTCATTGTGCAGTACACACAGTGCAGCTAAAATAATTTCAAAGGGATGTAAGCTAAATTGAAATAAATGCCATGTAAGTATAATAACAATGCGAGCACAATTTTTGTATTTGTTTTTGTAGCTAACGTGACAAAAACTATTTTTAAATAGTTGTAGGTGTTCCATTTTCTTCAACATTTAGCACTGAACAGGTGTTGCAACCTGGGTGCTATTTGTAAAATTAGGATCTAACTTTGCATGAAGCATACGCAGTCACTTATTATTATCAGCATACATGAGAATATGGAAAATTTATTTTAATTCATTAGAATAATTATTTCATTTTTTCGTTGTTGAGAAATGCAGCCTAGACTAAAAGGTTTTCAGAAGTTATTTGTGATTTATTTGTGATGAAACTGGAATGTAAAATGGAAATGATGGTGGAATTTGAAGCTTATGACTACAAACTGAAATAGCTTGAATTTGTTTTTTTTAATTGTTTTGGCCTTCTGTTAAGAGTTTACTTTAAAAAAGAAAGACATCACCAAGTGAGTCTGTTAATGATTTTTTTGTGCAAGGAACGTTGGAAGAATAAAATTGATAGTTTTCCAGCAGCTCTCTCAGAGCTTGTTTAAATTGGAAAAAATTACTTACAAATATGTAAATGTAACTACATCGAGAATTTTTTTTTGTCTTAATATACAGGTAGATCATACTTCAAGAAAGAAACACAAATGTCTTTGGAGGGCAGATTAAGAAAACTAGTTTGAAGTCTCCAGTTTTGAATCTTTTAACTATTTGATAGTAATATTTTTTGCTGTTGACAATGAGTATCACATCCTTTTGTTTTACATACTTTTTGTTTCAATCTAGATAGCTTCAATTAACATTAAGGAGTTTAAGCCCCAAATCAGACTTTGTTTCATTTAGTATTAATGAAAATCATTCTTTTCACATTCAAAATTTAGGGAAAGAAAAGGGCTGGGGAAACCATAGAGGAATAAAAATGCATTTGTGAATTGGGAAAGTAAATGAGGAAAAAAGTGTGAATATAAGTAAAATTTTGTAATATATTTAAGTATGTGAAACATATTTATATAACAGTGTTGTTTTTTTTTTAAATACTTACATTATTTTTGTACTTAATACATAATTCCAAATTAGTGACTTAAATAATTGTGTTTATTTAAGTTTATGGTGATAAACTGATTCTTTTTACACAGTGAAAACAAAATGAAATTTCCATCTACATCAATTTCTGTATCTAATGTATTTTCAAAACTGAAGGTTCTGGCACTTAATCAGACTGAGATAACATGGACAGAGGTAAAAACCTTGATTTTGTTTTCATTTATATTGGTAGGTTTTGAAACAAGTAAAGCACATTAAATATTATACATTATATTCTTCTTCTGAAGTGTAGTCATCCTCAGAAGAGGTGCTGTGACTTAACTGTATTAGTTGGAAATGTAAGTTGTATTGGCACTAGAGTCTAATGAAAAAAATGTTTAACCTCATTTACATTTGTAAATTAACCAGTCAATTTTAAGCATTTTGAAGTAAAATTTCATTTCATGTTCCCAAGGTTGAATACTATTTGTTTCCTTGTACTTAGTAAAAGTTTATTTATATTTTAGTGCATATATAGAACAAATGCAAGGAGAAAGAACATAGGTCAGTATGACATGAAATACTTGTTTTGGCATCACTTTGCATCAGCATGAGATTGGCTTAGTGTCTTTGCATCTACAGAAAATCCTTGAAATACGTGATACCTAGTTACATGCAACACAGACACAGCACAGAATAAACAAAGCTTTGACTTTTTTTTTTCAGGGACTGAAATATGCAAACATTTAAATGATTCTATTCTAGTATCTTGTTTCACTAAGGATGAAGTCCTGTTCTCAAATACATTAGCATTTGAGCCCATTAGCCCATTTAACATGGGGCTACAGGGCCCATGAAGCCAATCTCAGTAGTGTCGTCCTACAAGTTTGGAACCACAGATTGTGTGGCTGTGCAGAACCCAGTTTGATTTCATCTGTGCTTGTAGACCTAGACACAGGAAAGCACCAGGTGGAAGAAAGGGAGTGCTAGGCAATCTCCAGTATTTATTTCTGGTTTTGAAAACTATAATTTATTCTGAATATGTTCTGAGGAAATCTGCATAAAGTGTAATTTTTGGAATAATTTTTCTCAACTTCTGTTATATTAAATTAAGTTTTGCTCTTAGGTCCTTGTTTGTGCTCAAGGATGGCCAGCACTTGAAGAATTGTACCTTACTTCTAATAATATTACAGTTTTGGAAAGGTAAGACATGTAACGTACATGAGCATTTTGTGAGTGATGTACTGTGAAGTTAGATAGCAGATAGAGCTACGTTCCTGTAATGTTTGCATCACCGTGACATAACTGTAAAAAAATTGGTGCAAGCTTCATGTGGTGTACTTCAAAACATTTGAATAAGTAAGCAATTACTTGCATGCAGTTATATGCTTAAAAAAAATAGTGTTTTCATTAAAAAATAACTAAACGTGTTTTTTTTTTTTTAATTTTCTGTTTGTTTGGTGCAGGTTTGTTGATTTTGTTTGTTTGTTTGTTTGATGTGGCAGGCCCGATAATGTCCTGCAGACCCTGAAATTGTTAGACCTCTCAGACAACCCGTTACTGGATGGAGATCAGCTGCATCAGATAGCATATCTCCCCAGGTAGCTGTTAAACACATTTGCTGGAAATTCTTTGTCTTGTTCTTATTCATCTCCATAGTTTTTGTTAATGGAAATGTGATCATTTTGATGTTGCATCGAAGGTTTATGGATTCTTGAAATAGAATCATTTTGCCCTCTTGAGGAGAGTAACTGCATTATTTAATTGAGCTACGTTAATATAGTCTTATTTTTTTATCTTTTATAAGCAAGACATTCTTAAGCTGTTTGTTATGAGATTTTTATTATATACTTATGAAACTAAAGTAATTGATCACATTACTAAGTTCTTTATGCATTAATATGTCCTCCTTTGTATCCAAGATAACAGGACCATAGAGTTTTTGTGGTCTGGCAAAGCAAAAAAGATACAGAAGTGGCTTTTTAGGAAAAAAATTCTGACCAGGACAGTGTCATAGAGGTTCATCAGTAGCTGCGCAGCCATCTCGTGGTTGTTTGAGTCTGCAGAATGCTGGTGGACAGCTTGTTGGCAGGTGTTACTCTTGAGGCTGGCACATTAAAGATCACTGGTGATGGGCAGTTTCCAACAGCAGTTTACACCCATGCTCCCTACCTGTTTGTTCTTTGTAAAGAAAGCAAAATACAGTGAGATTGGAGGGAGCCGGGAATAATTCTGCTGCTTCTCTGTCATCTGCTTGCGATTGTTAACTATGGTGAAGGTTACAGTGGTTACTCTACTGGTAGTAGCGTGTCGCTGTGTTTGTATTGGCGGGTCCCCTGCACAAGGACTCTCTTTGGAATTTTCATGTGCTTTTTGAGGGTAGTTTGAAGACTTTGAATGATGTGTACTTCAAATTTTTTTTTTTAAAGAAAAAAGTATAATTTCTATACTGCATTGCATAAACATATTTTCACTTTGTTAAGTGAGTGTGGTGGTACCCTTTACACAGATGATAATGTTTCACTGTACACTCAGTAGCAATGTCTTTATGGTATTTATGGGCTTGAACTATGATTTGCTGCTCTGGGGCTTATCCAGGGAAAGTAGTGTTCCTTCCTTTTAAGAGCACTTCAGTTTCAGTGAATGGAATATTTTGGGACTAATGAAATAGTGTTGTTAATCTGCAGAATTATTATCTTGAGCTGTACGCCAAAATAGCAGCCATGAGGAATTAACAGCCTATTTTTAAAAAATTATATGGCAAATCACACCATTCAAATCCAGGAGTTATTTTGAAAGCTTGAAATTATTGTACTTATTCCTTGGAAAAAAAAGTATTCTCTGAAGTGTGGGTACTATCTATATAACTGCCAAAAGTTTATTAGATCTTTGTTTAAAAAAAAAAAATTAAGTATATTCTTTTACAAAAAAATGTTCTGTACCAATTACAGTAATCATTGTATCTATTAAATTTCAGATTAGAACAGCTAATACTTAGAAACACTGGAATATCTTCCATATACTTTCCTGATAGTGAATTTGGTATGTAAAATTAGCAATTTATTTATATTTTTATAATTCTGTTTATTTAAAGTTTTCGTTATTGTCTGTAAACTTATTTTTTTTCCTAGGATGCAAGACTAAAATGTTTCCTTCATTAAAGCGCCTTGCAATAAATGACAATAAAATATCACAGGTAGGTTAGATTGTGGTGGGTTTGCATTCTGCATATACATCTATCTTTAAGAGTAACTTAAATTTAAATTAAAATTTGCTATTTTAATTTTTTTTGATTGCTTGTGTAAGATCTTGAGGCATCTACTGAATTCCTTGATCAACACAGAGGGATGATTTAGAATTTTAAAAGACTCTTGGCATCTCAGTTAAACAGGTTTGTGGTAGTTAGTCCTGTCCCTCCTCTACCTCATAATTCTTCTTGTGGAATTCTAACGATCTAAAATGCTGAGTAGTCCCTGGTCTGTTTAGTTTTTTAATTAAATGTAAGAACAGGATGAAAGTACTTGGTTCTGCTGACCAAAAGAACAGTTTCTTTCATGGCCATTGTACAGGAAAAGTCAATGTTACTGTTTATTGTTCTGAAATGAAGTATGCTTTATGTTTCCTCAAAAGACTGTTCCCCTCCATTTCAGTGGTCATCAATCAATGAGCTTGAGAAACTGCCAAGTTTGCGGTCACTGCAGTGTCACAATAACCCTTTGATGGACACAGAGAAGAACCCGGAGACCCTGAGACAGCTAATTATTGCCAAGCTAAGTCAACTGGAGGTTTTGAACAAGTCTGAGGTACGTGATGCATCAACAAATTGCATGAGTCTATGGAAAAATTGTTTTTAAATCATTGCCTGAGGAATTCATTTCATCTTCTTTTAAGATTGTGTTCAGAAAAGTAAAGTACTGATTATTCCATCACCTTTAGCATGAAAGAGGGCAGAAACAGCATCTCTTCTGTAGCTACAAAAAATATCTGCATCATAATACAAATTAACGTCTTGGCTTAGGTACTCATCTGTGGATCAGACAGTACATAGAGGTACAGAGCTCATAAGATTCTTAATAGCTTTAAAATGTACTGAATTTATGGATCAGTTAGTACTTAGTAATGGGGTTTGTAAGGTTATTGGTAGTGCTAACATGTACTGAACATCAAAGTGATTGTAAGGGTCAGTGTCATGAAATAGATTTTCTTTTCTGGAAAGTCATATAATTTTATTGTGCTCCATTCCCGTGCCAGTACAGATCCTTCCTGCTGAAAGAAAAGGAGCAGAGCTTGATTATCGCAAAATATTTGGAAAAGAGTGGCTAGCAGCTGGCGGGAATTGGAACCCAGAGAGAAACAAACCGAGTGAAGAATTTCTTGCTGCCCATCCCCGATACACAGTACTTTGCCTTAGTAAGTACAAGTAAAATGAGCATTTCCTCACTTCTGGCATTGCGGTAGCACTAGATTTTTCTCTCTTCAGTTTGTTCCCTTCCGCCAGGGGCTTTTCCCTGTGCTCCTCCTGCCTTGTAAAGCCCACCTGTAGGCAGGCCTGCATGCACCTGGCTTTTGCTGCTGCAGGGCAGCTGCACAGTGCTGCGCCCCTCCAGGTGCTGCTGCTTCAGCTGACATCTGCCAGCACCTGCCCCAGAGCCCTACTGGTGCAGCACCGGGGGCTCTTAGAGGTGGGAGTGTCAGGCAGCACCTCCGCCTGCCTGCTGCCTGCTCCACTCCCTGCTAAATACACAGAGCTGTTGGTCAAGGATCACGCCTGCAGCGCCCCGTGCTTTTGTGCGGTGTTTCTACCACTTTGTGTGCAGCATCACAGCTGCTGCGGGAGCTGAGGCAGCAGGTTTGTGCCCAATCCAACACTGATTGCTTTTCTTAAGGCTGCTGTCGGGTGTTAGTCTGAGAACTGCTCATGTCAATGCGCGCTTTCCTTCACACAGAATATGGTGCACCTGAAGAAGGAGAACTGAAGGGACAACAGCCTTCGACTCTGAAAAATCAGCTTCTGAGTAAGAGGCCAGAAATGGTCAAAATTATTCTTTCTGCATTTGAAATATTTTATAAATTTTGTGTTTAGGGAGAACAAAGCATTCAAAAGCCTCTGAGAGGTCACAGGGTTGCAGCATGTAATTCTGTTTCTTAGCAATATGTGTATCTATGACTTGGATTAGATACCTGCTTCTCTGTACCCCATCTCCTTTCCTCCCTCTACCCAACCTGAATTATTTTTTTAAATAAGACTTAATGAGGAATTCAGTACTCTATTCTCATAGTCTCAATGACTTCCACAGAAAAGATTTGCTGAATTGTTTTCTGATATTTTTTTTTTTTATTAGATTCTTAATTTTAGAACAGTCAAGAAAATTAAAGCTAGCTTTGGTAGTTGGGGCTGTTTACATATTTAAGCTAGATTAATATCCCAGATGTACTTAGCTTTGTTTCCCATTTGATAGAATTGATTGTATATTTTTAATCCATGTCCAAAATAGTATTTTAAGGCACTTATATTCTAATGTTTAGATGGAAAACTAAACAGAACAAGGAATGTAGTTGGCTAGACATACTAGAAACTTTTCGTAAGGGGTCTTAATTTCTAGTTATTTTTTTAAGTTAAAAATATAATACAAATATATTTTGAGGAAATTAAGACAGTTTAAAGCAGGTTTTTAACCTGGAGTAGGCAGTTTCACATTTTACTGCAGGTTATTTTTAAAAGTTAACTAGAACGGAAGCACTTTTAGGTAAACTTACAAATGATAAAAATGAAAAATTAATTTTAACTTTATAGAGAACAACTAAACGCTATCATAGCTGCTCAGACACAGGCTCTGTTGTAATTGAGAAGATCAGGCTGGGTGGGGGGAAGTGTATAAAAACAGACTAGAAAGTCTTTGTGCTTCTGACAGAATAGGGCTTACCTTATTCACTAATGCTTTACTGTTCTCCTTAAGCTTTGACAATTAAATGTCCTGACAAACCTGAACAGAAGCCAGTAGAAAAAAAGCTACCAGGTAAGAAGCCTTCTTTCTTGTTTCAGATGTATAGCTCCTTTTGAAATAACTGTAATAGAGAATGACAGCTGCCTCTAGCTTTGTCAGCTCCTGAAGACTGTGTTACATAAAGGAATGACAAAGGTAGAACTCATGTGAGAAAGTCATTATTTTTCTGACCTTCACCCAGTTAGTTACTTTCAGTCCATATTGAAAATTGATGCATGTGTCACCATGTGTGCTGCTGGTTTCATGTAATGTGTATGAGGCAATCAAAGGCTAATTAATGGGTATGAAAGCTGGTGGGTGTATTTGCCCAGTAACAAAAACATGAAGTTGTAAGAGCCAACTATGTAGTCTGCAGTTATAGATTTTTATGTCTAATATTTTACAAATCGCTATAAATTACATTAGAAATCTGATTCTGACCTGTATCAAATTTGTCTTTTGTGAAATGTTAGTGCTTGTAGTGTCTACCAAAATGAACAGACTTTGTTCTAAATCAAACTGAAGTCTCAGAGATGTAGCAGAATGGTGTCTGAAAGAACAGACTTACACAAACTTTATTCTAAAATAAAAATCACATTTATTATCACAAGTTGCATAAAATCAGATAGATACAGCTTTTACAAAAACGTTTGATAGAAAAATATTTGTCTAAGTACAATGTGTGGTATTACAGGAATAACTCACTATTGCTGTGCCTTTAGGTAAAGCTTCAAAAGAAGTAAAAGTTCAACCAAAATATTGAGTATATCTATTGCAAACACAGGTATCACCTCTGGAACAAACTACATTTACTCATTCAAGATCCATTACAAAAAATATCCTGCCGTGTAACTGACTTCATAATAGAAACCGCTATACAACTCTGCTGGCAATTTGGTTGGGACGAGTTAACATAGCAATATTTCTAAGAGTGGCACTAGTTCCACAGTGACATTTGTTTATTTGTGCTGGGAAAGCCAATTTCTGGTATGAAAGCTTCAAGGAACAGTCACTAGCTGCAAGCAGACAGAACCTGACTGGTACATGTCCCAAAGGTCACTTAGTTTAGTGTGTAGCAAATTCAAACTCAAAAAAGGTAAATTATGAAGCCATAACTCTTTAATTTGGCATGTGGGATCAAAACGCTTCAAAGGTAGTAGCTTATTCTGTCTGACCCACCAGAGATTGAACCGTTTTCAATTTGACATTAGCAGTTATCATTTCAGGTACAAAATACATTATTGCAGTGTTAGAACTGAAGCAGCAATACAGCCTTTCACTGTTGCTATGAGCAAGTATAGCTGAATAACCAGTACTTCGCTACAGCTCAGTGGTAGCAGCATTTTTCTAACCACTTGGTTTCTTTCCCTTTTCCAGAGTCCATGACTATTCAAAGGGTCAAAGGATTGCTCTATCGCCTACTTAAAATTCCTGGTTCAGAACTGAAACTGTCCTACGAAAGTTCTAAAGTGAGTTAAAATTAGGTAATTCAGCAACAAAATACTTCATGCTGCTAAAGGTCAATAGCATGTTCTAAAATACTACCTAATGAAATTGATTTCACTTAAGGAGGGCAGTCTTCCTGCTGTTAATTTAGGACCTGATTCAATGCCTGATCCTCCTTGACTGCAACTGCCTGATCTAAATTTGGTTTACATTAACAGAGGTCTCGTAAGACTTAAACTGAAATCTTTTTTCCTTTCTTATTCTAGCTGGCAGGAAAAGAAGTTGAACTAGACAACGACTTAAAGCCTTTGCAGTTTTACTCGATAGAAAATGGAGACTGTGTGCTAGTACGGTGGTAACAAGGAGCTCCCTGGATAGGCTGAAGGCAAAACCACGATGGGAACTGCAGGAGAGTTACAGACTGCCTGCAGACAGCAGGTACAACATGTGCCTGAACACCTGTGGGAGAACACGAATTTCATACGTGGCACCAGAGCACTATATGATAATACTTCCAGCTCCTATACTTAGCAATTAATCTTTATGAAGGCCTTTGCTTTTGATTGAAGTGTCTTATCTGGGAGACACCAAATAGTACTTGAAGTCTTCAATTAAATAAAACTCAAGGTAACCCTTTTGCCAATATTTTATACTACCTTACCACTGCAGTGGGCAGAATTCATTTGTATGGAACTGATACATGATCTGGTTGTGATGTCCTCACTTATAATAGCTCTAGGACAAAATTAGTGCTGCACTGAAAGAGGCTACTTGTGCTGTTTTCACCTACTTCTAAAGACCTTAAAGCAAAGAAGTGTAAATCAGCGGTAACTGTAGAAGTATCTGCACAGCCTTAGAGTGCTTAAGGTCAAAATCTGACAAACCTTAATTCTACCTGCAGAGTTAACATACCACAGTATAAGTAAGTTCTCAGCATACTGCAAGGCATTGATATTCAGTTTACATTCTTTAGTGTGTAGTTCCTCAATCTTATTTTACTTTCACTTGTGTACCACCAAATTCATACATAATAACAGAGCTACCAGAAAAACCTCCATATCAGGCTAAGTTTGCAGTACTTCAAGATTTGGTATAAGCAAACTTTGATTTATTTTTTTAATATATATATATCTAAAATTATAATGGTATAAACAAACTAAACCTAACAAATCCCAAACCCTAGCTGTCCCAGCCCCTGCACAGATGAGAGCAACCCCTCAAACCGCATGGAACCTGCTGCAGCAAGACTTACCAGACACCCTGGTACTAAGCACAGCTCTCCAGTGGATCTTGGTACGGCTCTATACAGAGTTAAATCAGTAGTACTTCAATTTACAAAAGACAGGCTAGTTGGCATTCGTATGTGCATTTATTAATTACAAGTAGGTCTTCGACTTCATATAAAAAGGAAACTTTATCTTAAACATTTTGGTTTTTGTCAGATCAACATCTATACTATAGAAAATGAATAGTATCAGTCCACTTGTAATTATCAAAAGGGATGTGCAAATATTGTTACGCTTTAGTTGAAACCCAACATTAAAGGATACCTTAATATTCTGTATTATTCCAAGAAGGAATCCCGACGTACACTTTTCCATCCTTATTATACGCTACCCTGTTACCCAAGGCAAGTCCCTCATCTTTCCTCACATCTACAAGGATCTCTGCACAGCTCCTTTGCTCTCCAGAGCTCTCTCAGTTCCTGGGGAGAATACTGAGGGGAAGACAGCATACCACTCTCGCATGCCTTCTCACACAACCAGAGACTATCCTGTTAGAGAGACAGCAATTTCAATAGTTCTTAGAAAGAATTCAGTGCTCAACAAACCTTACTGCCAAGAGTCAGGTCTTCATTGTTTATGGCGATACATTTTGCACACAAAGGTCACCAACTAGAGGCCTAGAGGCAGACTTCCCTTTCTGAGCTGCTAGAGCTATTCAAAGAACTTGCAATTGGGGGATGGAGGATGGGTTTGTGTTGTTTTTTTTTTTTGTTTGTTTGTTTGTTTTAAATACATTTTAACAAGTTTTCTGTATTTTGATCCAATGGCTGTTTCAATTTTTGTAAAAAGCAAATTTTTTTGATCCCCCTATTTTATTTATGCTACTTAGAGCAACAGTCATGATCTCTTCCCATAAGATTTGAAAATTTCTGCAGACTTACTTGGTATCGCTTGGGTCCTATAGCTGCCATCCAGATGCCCATGCTCACATCTTCACCCTGAGACAACACGTGGGAAAAAAATAGGTATTAGCACCAGGAGAGCATGAAGCATGCGCCTGCAGTAAAAAGGGCACCTACAAAAAGCTATGCCTGAGTAGCTTACAGGTGTCCAATTAATTCTCCTCACCTTTTCTGTGGTAAAATTGTTTTCACGGGGAAGACAGTACTAAAAACAAGTTTACCACACCAGATTCTCAGTCCAAAACAGCTGTGATTTGAGCTGGAAGGGACACTAAGCACAGTGAGCAAAAGCACTGCAGTAAGCTGAAGCATCAGCCAGGAGCCCCCAACAATCACACCCGGGCAGCGTTCTTTCCCACTCATCCAGTGCACGTGCTGCTCCCCAAAGCAGTTTAAGATAGAAGAACTGAATCAAAGCTATAATACCTGGTAAGTCTTTAATCTTTCAGAGTTGCTTGCCAGCCACTGAACGATGTCTTTGGCGATGACATAGCCGGACCCACAAGCAAAGGCTGGATACGCAGGACTTGGGTACTCCAGCTCTTGCCACTTCCCAGTTCGATCAACTGCCCAGTTCAGTCTGAAACTGAAGAGCACGTTAGACCTGTGAGATGTTTGTACAATGCCCTCCGAGAAACCTATAAACACAGCTGCCCACTGAAGTATCAATAATAGCAAGCAGTACTAAGGGGAAGAAGTAGAAGGAGTTCAGATAGCCTCATTTCTCTCGAGCACATACCTAATCCAACACAACACCTGAAAGTGCAACTATTGTCTGCTTTTGATCTTCAGGAGGTTCTCAGAACAGAATCAAACAACACTGACAGTCAGGTCTTTAACACATCTGCACCACTGCTGTGTTTTGGTCCTGACACGTGTGAGCATCACGGTGTAGGTTCTCTGACAGCCACATGTGCCCAATCCCCTTTGGTTACAGCACCAGACAAAGGCAGTGCCCCCAGCAGGCACACAGATACAGCAGTGTGACACAGCCCATCTTCCTGAGAGAACTCGGGGCTGCTTTAAACACGGGAAGCAAGACAAAGCACTGGATTTTGATCCACTACCAAGAATAGCCATGCTAGACCAAATTTCTACCTAGGAAACTTAGTCATGACTAGAGCAGATGAGACCATCTTATCTTTTGGAAAGGGATGCTAGGCCCGGCTTTATTTTCTCAATGCTGATTTGCTGTTGAAGCTTTCAGGGAGCCACCACCTTCTCTAGCTGTTTTCCAAATGAAACTCAACTGAACAGATGTTCAACAAAGGCTGCCATCACTGAACTACAAACACCGTCCTGGCAGCTTCCTTCCCCAGGGAACATTTTATTTACTACGAAATGCCTGCAGAAAGCCAGAAGCGTGGCCTGCACAGTCCCATCCCCAGACCGAGTGGCAGAAGTCTGGCACACTGTCACAGCACGCAGCCCTGCTGCCCCTGGCAGGCTGCGGTGTCTGCTTGTGCTGTCCAGGAACAGGCTGGCATCACGCTCCTCTTACCTTACAATCTAACTGCTGTAACTGTGTCGATGCAGCAGGTTCTCCCTGCTTTTTGCAAACAGGTTCAAGCACTGCTGAATTTAGTTGTGAACATAAGCAGCTAAAACCTTTAGTGAGCTGCGAAGAACTGTCACCTCAGAACCAGCCCCAACAGCGAGGAGTTAGGGTGGAGTGTCAGAGCTGCTGTCAGACTGCACAGCACAGCTGAAGCTGACATGTTCCAACCCCCAGCAGGTAAGCCACAGCTGATGCCCAGATCCACTTAGACTGCATCCTCTGCTCTGGCAAGTCACAACAGGAGGGGTGCAGCACCCTGCAAACCGAGGGGAACCTGCCTTGCCAATCACTTCATTCTTCCTGAGTGATTCCAGCTTTGTTCATTGTACCTCACGCTTGTCTTACCAGAAGACTGCAACCAGTAGAGATTTTATGCCGAAGACATTACCTGTACAGAAAAGACTTTGTCCAACTCTTCCCCTAACAGCATTACTTGTCTCTTCCTTTTAAGTGACCTAATAAAATGACTTCATACTTTAACATGCTTTCTACAGCAAGACTCAGCAAATTTCTTTTTTCAGTCTGCAGAAGAAAGCATTGTAAACCCTCCTAAATTCACATAATGGCTATTTGAAGGCAAGCCTACAAGTCTGGTACTAGAATATGAAACATGTTACACTCAACAGTGTATCGTACACCACAGGGAAAAGAGGACCATATTACAAATGAAACAGATCTTTGTGGAAATCTTCAGGTATCTGGAGTATTTGTGCCTAACTAAGGTCAAGAAAAAGTACCATTCTGAACTCGCTTTTTACAACATGGTGGACGAGCTGACTTCAGTGAATCACCTTCTAATTCACAGCATTCACATAGGACTCAGTCCCTTCAGAAACAGCTTGGTTTTCTACCCGTATCATAAAATCTGGTCATTTGCAGACATGACAGGCAGAATTACCTGAATTACCTAGATTAGTCTTGTGACTGCAGTTTTAAAAGAACAGAAGAGCAGTAACTAAGAAAAGCATCTTCTAAGATGAGATGCAGTTCTGGAGTAGGATCCCCAGAGTATTTGTTTTTCTAACCATGCAGTCCTGAAACACTCTAAATCAGCTAAAAAAGCTTTTTAAAGGGTGATTTAAAAATAGTGAATAAAACCACCATGCAATAGGAAGTGTCAGTCAAAAACGGACCATGAACTGACAGCACACAAGTACTGCTCCATGCAGTACCTGCAAGTGACCCAGCTCCCAATGTCGTTGGGATCTCATTGTCTCTACAAAATGCCAGAGTAAGCTGGCAATTTCAGAATTCACAAGAACTCAGATCACTCTCTCTAAGAATGATAGGATTTATAAAGTATTAACAGATTAAAGAAACACTGGGCAACAAATGAGACACTTATCTAAACTAGAGAGTTCAGACAGCAGAAAGATGGCCATGCCTGACATTCAGACTTGAAAATACTGTGCAGACTATCGTCAGTTTTGTTTCTCCTGTTTACCCCATTTCCCCAGGCATCCAGCCACATCATAGTGGCTTCAGAGAAAGTAATGTTGACAGTTTTAGCACTTGCTCACATTTTAACTTTCTTGTACTGCTGTAATACTTTTATTTACTTAAGTACCATGGCAAAGACATACACATACAACATATTTTAAAACTAGGTAAGGTACTCAGCAAGTTCAACCTATTGCAGAGGCACCTTCCGGAACATCAATGTAAACTACTGATTTTTGTATTCTACGACTCAAAGTGCTACGTGTATCAAAGTCCTTTTTTCATAACTAACTTCCAAGTGCAAAAGATGGGAACCCACATAAGAAAGCCTTAAAGCAGTAAACCATTCACTAAGAACAGTTTCTCTTAAAAATAAACAACAACAAAAGAACTTACTTTCCCCACCAAATGTTTGGCCTGTCCAATTTCTTCTGCATTATCCTGTTAAAAACAGCCTCCAAATCTATGTAACAGTCATCATCCGTCTTCAGCAACAAATCAAAACTTGTTGTTTCAACTGTCCTGTAGCCAAAAAGAAAAATGATAAGATGCTGAGCTGTATCGCCCACAGACTACAATTTTGTGACAAAACACTCCACAAGGGTTTTTAGGGAAGCAGAGCGGGAAGGAAGAGGTAAGGAAAGATACTGCCTCCCTCAACTTTTAAATGGTTTCCCTATTGACTAAAGCATAGCTGCAGCTCCATCCTATGACAATCTTATAGCATGGATTTGTGTAAAAGCTGAAGGAACTTGCAGTTTTGTTCTCCAGGACAGATGGCGGATTTACTAATGAATCTCTCTTAAACAGTATTGACCTCAGAAGGATGTGAATGCCTGGTGATGATGGCAGCACAGCTGTTAAAAGCCAATAGCTACATGTTGGTAGTCTATTCCTCGGGAACAGACAGTTCAAGGGTAGTACAGCTGTAGGGGCTTATATGGAACATCTGTGGAAAAAAACTTAGTAGTAGGCTTCCTCAGGGAAGCACACTTCTAATATGGACAAAAGAAAAATGTATCTGTCTGAAATACTTTAATATTTGTCACATGTAAAATAATCAAAGAAGCTCAAGGTTCTAGGAATTATTATTATTCCTTGGTTTAATCAAACATTGTTTTAAAGGGCAATTGCTCTTAGCCAGAAAGGCATTTTCCTTAAGCTTTTTATTACCAAATCCTGAAGATTTTGCTAACCTGTAAGAAATGATCACTGAGGTTTAAGTCTTGACATATAAACTGCCTTTTTAGAATTGAAAGCATGTTTCAGTTTTCAATTACGTTCTTACCCATGAAATTTGTTAAGTAAATGTGTAATATTGCAAGCAGCTAAAACTGTCAGCTATATTTCTTACTCTGTACCAATTAAATCGAAGCGATTGTCTCAGAATAATGAGAATACCTGCAAATTAGAGTTGATAATTTACTAGATTCTCTGCAGATAACACAATGCAGTATGGAAATTCTTTCTCTCACCTTCCTTCCCCCCTTTACCCAAAAGCTCCCTCTATCCAGCACTGCTGAGGCCACAGCTGAAGGACTGCCTCCAGTTCTGGGCTCCTCAGTACAAGAGAGACACGGATATACTAGATGGAGAGAGTCTGGTGAATGGCCACTAGGATGATTTGGGGCTGGAGCACCTGTCCTACAAGGAAAGACAGAGCTGGGACTGGTCAGCCTGGAGAAGAGGAGGCTCGGGGGGGATCACATCAACACCTACAAATACCTGAAGATAAGGTGTAAAAATCAACTGAGCCTGGCTACTTTCAGTGGTGTCCATTGATGCAACAACAGGCAATGGCCACAAACTAAAACACTAAGTTTACAATGGTTTCCCTATTGACTAAGGCATAGCTGCAG